ATACTTTCCTGTTGTAAAATACTTCCTTGTCTTGAGGTGGAGCAATTATTGCTATATGACTGCAATCTATAGTCCCCGTAATATTTGGAATCCCATGAATTTTTTCAAAGCGACTGGCAACCTCTTTAATACTACTTGCGGTCCACTTATGCACAAACAAAGGAATTCTTATTCGTCCAAGTATTGCACAGATTTTTCTTACAATAATAGAAGCAAGCCCTTCACTGATGTCGTACAAATCACCACACATTGTGAGATAATTTCATGTTCCCAATCGATTTGAATCAACAGCTATTCTGTCTCAAACTTTGATTCCCCCACCTCATGCATACTTCTTCATATCAGGACCTACTAATCCTACGATAAATTTGAATGTCGTTGGAAGAATTTGGAATCTTCTCACAAAATTCTGCTCTTAATACGTTTCCAAGAGAATTATATCTACAAACCCTCAGTGTTTTTCTGACGCCAAATCTATTTTAAAACCCGAATGTGAAATACCATTCCTAATTCTTTTACAACTGCTTCAACAATACCTTGAACGAATAGATAATTGCAAAAACAATTTTCTCCTCCTTCATTTTTCTCTCGACAATGATTCAAGATACCAGCATACATATGAAAGCGAGAGGAATAACATTCCACTTATCCATTGTGTAGATTTGCAAAAGAAAATCAAAAACTTGTTGATGGTGATCTCACCTTGAGAAGCACGTTATGGCGGTAGCCGTGGTACCCAATGCAACTAGCTGGCAGTAAACAAAAGCCAATCTTCCAAGGCGATTGAAAGCAATCTTCCAAGTATAACAGTTGCGTACACCCCTAATCATTCGCTCATGCACTCACTATCCTTCCAAGCGGCAGGACCACTCTTCATTGTTCAAGCTGAAAATTCCCTGCTATGAAAATGTGAAGGAGAGGATGAACGTGGAGAAGATCCACTTTCTCACTGTCATCTCAAGCCAAAGCCACGCTGGTTTTTGAAGGTGCGAAATATGAAAATCATGTAGCTCATTGCTCCCGAGCAAAAATCCCGACAGGGTTCATTTTGATTGAACTTCTACGAATCTGAAAGACAAATGTTTCGTTCGGAATGAAAACTCCCTGTTGATCCACGACAACAGCATATGCAGTAGCACTAGTGCACAAAAAACTAATAACATGAGCCAAGGATCCACTTTCTCAGCTAAGTTGTCTGAAAATGGCATGCGTTCTCTTTACAATAAATGTTGTGGTACTTGATCCAACCCGTCCACTCGAAGTACTATCCTTGTTCAAATATGACCACAACTTGGCACGCAGATTATCTCGACGATATTTAACCCCCGGTTTTGTAAAGATCCCATGAACTTTTGGATTGCGTCACGCTAATAGCTGAAAATGCAAGAATCTGAACTGATGGATATGAGTTGAGTATGGACAAGGTGACATGTATGGTTAATGTGTGAGTATGAAAAAAGATGTCATGGGTGGATAGTGGTTGGGTGCAGTTGACCCACGAACAATTGTGGGTTGGGTATGGGTAAAGTTTTGAAGTCCAATATAGAACTTTGTTGATTATTCCTAAAACAGCTTCGAACGATCTACGTGAAATTACATTGCGTTAGCGCGGAAGGCAATGTAACTTTGTCGATTAAAACAGTTGAGAACCAAGAAAGGATGTTATGGTTGCTGCTCTACTGCTGTTAATCCTCCACATCAAGCGCGAAGTAGTTGTACTTTTTGAATTTTTTTAGAAAATCCATACTACTTCATTTGCTAGTTCTTGGAACTTTGAATTGCAGTGAATCGATGGTGGACATGACTTCTTGTTATAAGATGATCAAATAGGTCTGCAGAGACTAACCAAATTTTTTACATGCTTTATCAATCAATCCTTTGTAGTGACATGCAACAAGCACTCACGAATAAATAGCAAATACAACATCAGATTTGACTAAACGATCCGGCTGGAAAGAGTCATCAACGTGGAGTGGATCAACTGGAGTAAGGGAAAGCTCGCAGATTCTAATGAAGATTCTAATGGAACAATCTCACGAGTTGACATTTACAGTACTAGTTGTCTAGCAAATTCATGACACTTTTGCTTAGTGATCTAATTAACGTTGACAAATTACTTTAATTGTAGATTTCTATTGATTATGAACATGATTTGGATAAAATCATTTTTTTAGATAGTTATGTGTTTATAGTAGTATGTGAATGTATTAAATATAAATTTGATTTGCAAAAATAAATATTTTGATTCAATTTGAAAACTAAATAGTTATCGATTGAAAAAGTAATAAAAATAATTTTATTTTAGTGATTAATTCTTTAATCAAAATGAGATTGAAACAAGTATTATCAATAATTATTCTGATAATAAAAATTGGGTTATTTTCGCAAAATTAAATTTAATGAATAGCAAAATTAAATTTATCAAATATTATTTGATAAAATATTTAATTTTTAAATAAAAAGGTGATTATATTTATTATTTCAAATTTTTTAGGTTTTGAAACAAAATTCATTTAAAAATTTATTGTTAGTATTTCATAATTTTTCCAATTTTTGACCCCAATTAAAAGTGAGACGTATTAATAATTATGTTAGTTTTCAAAATATTTTATTTCATTAATTTAATTTTAATGAATTTTAGTTAATTCTAGTTAGTCAAAAAATCATATGCTACTTTTCTTGTATGATTAATATGAGACTACTCATATTGGTTATTAAATACACAGATTTGAATCATGAGTATAAAGAAAGCTTTTCGTTAGTATAATCATATCTTGATCTCCCGGTTAGTATACTAGTTGCGAGTTACTTCCACTGTCTTACATTATATAAGAGAACTCATCAAAATTTCGTGTGGATAGAATTGAAGTTTAAATACTATACACGCTTTGCAAACATAGCCTTGCTAACACAAACTATATATTGTTTTACTCTGTCTATAAAAATAATTTATTATTCTAAATTTGAATCACAATTGTAGATCATACACACGCAAGTAATTTTTAGATTCTAAAAAATATGTATGAAATCATCATGTATATTCAAATATTCATATTTGTTATTAATATTTTTAGAAAAACTTCCGGATTTTTTCAAAGCTATAATACGAGAAAACAATTGTAACATTGACAATTGATGACCTATTTTATGAATTGTTTTAAAATCCATTCAGTTTCATGATTTTTACTGAGTTTTTGAACATATTTTTCTATTTGAAAGGTTTTTAAGATTTTTGATCATATGTGTAATTTTTTTTCCAATTTTTTTTCAAAATGTTTTAATTTATCAAATATCGTTTTCCTAATATGTTTATTTTTTTGATTTGAAAATAATGAAAATATGATTTAAATATAGTTTGATTAAAGGTTATGTAAATATTCTAAATATTTTTCCAAAAAAATTTCGTATTCATTTATAAAATTAAAAATATTTTTATCAATAGAGAGAGATAATTTCTTATTGTTTTTAGGATTGCAACACGGTATAATTATCAATTCAAGAATTTTTTATAAATGTAAAACAAAGCACTTGACTTCAAGATACTATCTTAAAATCGGATTAGAAAATAATTGACATATGTTGTGTTTTTTGTATATAATCATTCATTAAATAATTCAAATAATCCAAAAATTATACCACTTTTTTCTTACATCTAAATCTAAGTTTAATTATTTTCATAATGTATATATATAGAAATATTATTTGAGTAATTATAATTATAACACACTTATGTTTTTTGTTTGTTTGGATATTTTCTATATGGGTTTTCTTTATAAGGATTGATCATTAATATTTCTTTGTATACCAAATTAGATAAAATGCCAATACTGATTATTTGATCATAATACTGTAAGAATTTTAGCTATGCTCCTTAATTTTATTAATTATTTTTTCTCAGTTGTGAGATTTATCTGACATCTTGTGTCAAAATCATCAATAAAATTTGAAATTTTATTTTCATTTTCAATTTATTCAATCATAAGAAGATATAATGCAATTCTAAAAACGAAGAAACTTGGTAAAAAATTTATAGTATCTATGTAAGAATAGTAATTATTTAGTCAGCTTTTACAATCCGCCCTGGCGAATATGACGTATCTCACAGAAGTACAACTTGTAGTGGCAGGCATTTTACGAGTATTATAGACATGGATCAATGCAGGAATGCCAAAAACCATCTCCCTTCTATAATACTCAATTAAACACGATATTTGTTTGTTATTTTAGGAGTTTATTGAATGATAACTTAGGCAGTTTTAAATCAAACATATGAAAAAAAAGTAATACTAATCGCGGTGATTGATACAACGTTAGATGATACTAATATTTGTAGATAGTTTTGATATCCATATGGGAGTAGGGGGTTGCAATATATATTACTAATGTAATACTATTGGGTGCTAGCCACTTCTGAAGAGTATTGGTTCATATGGTATGATGAGATGTTTCCACACTTTTTGTTATCCACTTTGACTATTTATCAGAAATTTAATTGCGAAGATTGTAATGCATGTCTCCATGCTATCCACTTTGACAAGTGGAAAGGGTGGAGAACGCGCTAACGCACGCTGGTGTGCTTCCTGCCCGTGGAGGTGAAAATGCGGCTTCTTATTAATATACATAATGAATATATACATATTAATTTCATATTCATTACATAAAATAAAAATACGAAAATTAAGCATGATGATTATAATGCACGTCTCTACGTTATCACCAAGACCACGTACCAAAACTCTATTGTTCTGATTATACAACACTCACTCGAAGTCTACTGTGTTGCTATATGGAGGATGAACTACACAGTCACTAACTCCACGTAGTTCAACCGCGCACATTGATCCAGGCCGAAGAAACTTGCGCTGACTGGTCGTAAAATCCACCACAAGGCCGACCATGGTTCCGGTTTCAAGACTGTACCGCGACTATAACGGACTGGCCGACGCAGCCTACCGTTCGTAGCCCTGGTCCTCCAAATGTCAAGGCGTACGACGCTCTTTCTGACTCTACTTTGAACGTACCGTAGGACCCGGTCGAGCGGCCTTCTTGCGCCGGAAGATTTCCGAACGAGGATCGAGAGGAGGGAGCAGGAATCGGACGAGAGGAAGCCTCCGAGCGATCCGCGCGGCGCAATTGGAAGACGTGGAGAGAAAGTTTACGAAGAGAAATCTCGCGCAGCCGGACTCTGGGTTTCTTCTGCACATGAGCTTAGCCGCGTGTCCGGTGAATCGTCAGAGTTGGAGCTCATGATTTCCATGAGCGCCGAAAAGATCGTCGGACTGGTGAAAACGGAGCGAATTGATCGCAGGGATATTGACAAATTATCGGATGCTGATGGATCGGTGGTGAATGATTGCTGAATGAGAATTATAAGCGTAGAATGCTGAGTAGATATATTGGTTTGATTGATCGATGGGACCCGTGGCGCGCTTGCGTCGGCTCCAGCGCCAGCTGACATTGAAGGTGCAGTTTCAGCAGCATCGGACGCACGCGTGCCTTCTGCTGCCGCTCTTTGTTATCATAATACTATGCTTTTTGTGGCCTATGGCCTCCACCGCACCTGCGTACAAGCCTCTTTACTTCCTAAGCCTCGGTGATTATGGAACGGGATCACTGGAGCAGAGAGCAGTGGGGAATCAGGTGAGATTCTTTGGTGCAATTAGATGTCGAAGATGAGTTTTTTTGGGGTCTGGAATTAGGTCTTCCGGCTGTTGCATTGCTGCCAAAGTGTTTGAAAAATCTCGCGCCAAAAAGGTTTCGTTTTTCGAGAACAAGTGTGACGGGATTTGTTGCAGTCAAAATTTGTACACCAGAGATGTGCTGGATGACTGAGAATTTTCTAGCTGTAGGACATGCCGATCATTGATGCAGCTGGGCGGTGATGTTGCAGATGGCCGACGCTGCTGAAAGGCACGATGCACAATTCGTTGTGACTGTTGGAGACAATTTCTACCCTCGTGGTATCAAAGGGCTGGACGATCCCCAAATTAAAAACAACTTTGAGGTTGGATGAACCTCACTCTGTCGTATCAAAAGAATTTGTCTCATGCCGAATTTCGACCAGATTCTCCATAACTATCCAATTCACCTACTTTCATCCTCCTGATCGACCTTCTCTAAGAAGGGAAGCATGTGAGTCAGACTCATTTATTTGCGTGCACTCATGGAGGAAGGAACAGAATCCAGTAAATCTCTGTTTGTGTTGAACATCACGGAATGCCTCAAAACTGTCGCTGAAACTTCCAACGACGCTTTTCTCTTCGAGTCATTCGCCCTATTCAGATGCAGTCTGCTTTCATGCGTTGACGCTTACAGTTAAGTTTATTCACCGTCTGCAGGACATATATGCAGACAAGTCTCTCCAAATTCCCTGGTATGCATCATACATATTCACCTTGGCTTCTTACTGTGATCGTGACTGAGTTAGTGGTGGTTTTTTTTCGCGGTTTAATTACTACCCGTGTACTTGGTTGACATTTGAATTGGCGCTTCCAGGTATGTGGCTCTTGGAGATCATGACCACAGGGGCAGTGTCGCAGCACTGATTGCCTACTCCAATGTATCAAACCGCTGGCAGCTGCCAGGACCCTATTATGTCAAGACCATACCTTTGACTGGCATCCATACTCTGGACCTCATCATCACGGACAGTATTGGCCTGGAGGTAATTCCAAGAAATCAATGTATTTGATACCGTAGACGGGAAGTATAGTAGTCGATTGAAGGAAGTGCGACTCTCCCGAGGAACATGTTCATGGCTAGAGTATGCCGAGTGCTAACCTGAACCGATTTGTAATCAAAATTCTCTTAGGTTTGATGTAGAATTTGTTGTTTGTTTAAAATACCGTCCCCTGTAGATTCACTACACACGAAGCACAAAACCTCGTTGGGTCTTGGCTCGGTGCAGACTTTCTGGTTGTGCCATATGTTGTGATAACGTCGTTATGTTCATTGCAGGGTGTTTTGGTGAATGAAAGCGAAACTAGACGTTTTGAAAAGGATTACAATATGACTGTCGCTGGCGCAGAGGTGAATAATCCATTCTCAGTCGACACATTTAATCACTTTGATGAATTCCCTGATTCTTGGGTCTTCTTTGTTTAGGTATCTCTTGCGCATAGTAGATATCACAGGAATTAAACCCTCAATCTGGGTGTAAGGTACGCTGAAAAAGCTTGTACCATTTCTCAGTTGACTTATTGCGACGAGGGACCCCAGGCTCTGATTAGTTTAAATGTTTTTCCATCAGGCTGGACAAAGACAATTGGAATGGCTCACTGAAGTTCTGGCGAACAGCAAAGCTGATTGGTAAGTTTAGACTATGATTATTCTCTTCTGGTGGTCATTGAGATTGAGCGATGTTCTGGCTTTTTGACAATCAAGACTCTCGTGGATTAAGTGTGTTTCTTGGCGAGAACCTGTAGCATTTAGCTCGGGGCTTTTATGCTGACAAAGTATGGGCTTGAGAAGGCGCATTGTGGTGGGACACCGTCCCTTGCAGAGCGTTGCAGATCGTAGCCGTTTCCCCGTGGAGGACAGACTACACGATTTGCTATCTCCACTCTTCGTGAAATATGGAGTGGTGAGTTTTCGTTCTTGCAAGTTACGCCAATTTGCAGTTGAGGTTTTTCCAATGTCAGTTTTGTTCACCTTGCCCGTACGCCTACCTCGTTACATGCGTCCATCTGTCGAACAAATTGTTCTGCTAGCAAAAATATTTTCGTATGTAATGCAAGCAATACGTGAAGCGTGAAAAGTATCCATTGGTTGTCCCATCATTTTATATTTTGAGTGGAGTGTTTCTTGGTCTGTTTTGGCAGCATGTATACATGCACGGTCATGATCATGTCGGACAACACTTGGTGGATAAAGGGGTCGTCTATGTTGGCAATGGAGTGGGTGGCTTTGGAACTCATCCAGCGCATACTACCAACAACACCGTATGGTTCAGGTCAGTAAAGGCCAGTGAAGAAGCCACTCGGTTTGATGGATCCTTAAACTGTGGGATTGGTTTGTAAGAATTTGAAGAGAGGAAGACTACTGTGTCTTGTTTTGATTGTAATTCTGTGTTTCACTATTGGCGATCAATAATGAAACTGCATACAGTAATAGAGACATGTAATTGTTAATTGTTAATCAGTCAGTTCATTTCTGTATTCATCAGTATAATAGTAATTGTAAAGACTAAAAAGTAGTTGCTAACTTTTTACCATAGGTAACTGCTATATTACTCTAATCCTCAAGTACGGTTTGGTCGCTATCAGCCACCTCTGTTTAGAGTTAGGACCTCAGGTTCAAGTTTTAGCCATGAGCTTTTGTATCTGTTACTAGAGTACATATTAGAGTACGCACCTTGCCGGTGATAATTTCCTCGTCCACTGATCACACGCTGAGTCCTGGATTGCTGATAAGTGTGTGAAGTTAGCACTCCAACTGAATGTCGAGTTGGTCTCAATACATTATAGGGAATATCATCTAGAGTTAGATGTTAGTGTGGCTGCTCAGAGCCCTTCATGGTGAAGGGAAGTGGTAGCAAGCGATGGTTAATCCAAGAGAGTCAATAGGAGCATTATCAGGTAATGCTGTTCATACATATGGAAGACATGCTAATCGCTGCAACAGATTTAAGAAATAGAATTACATCAAATTAGAATTAAAGGTCAGGAATTGAAGTGCACTGTGATTTTCCTTACTGATCTCCTAATGTCCAATTTCGAACTGCCTACAGGAATGATTACATGGGCTTCATTGTCCATAAAGTTACTCCTTCTCAAATGGTGAGTAGGTTTGTGTCGTGTGCGAAATATTGTGCTGTTAGTGACAGCAAGTTTTACAATCTTATCTCTGTCCGTGTCCAGTTGATATCGGTATAGTTTTTTCAACCTTTGCAAATATTTAATATATTTAATATGCAACCTTTATTTTCTGTTACTGGGTGTGCAGGAGTTCAAATATAAGAATCACAAAGGAGTTACTGTACACAAGATCATATTGAAACAGGATTATTCGGAGATGTGATTATAAGGTCGTCATCGATGACCCTAAGCACGGCAAGTCCTCGTTAAGAAGTTCGATCTTGCTGTTTGAAGAGTTTTAAATTATCTGTGAATTTTGACGTGAAAAGCAAGGACATTGCTCGCAATCCAACACACGAAGTATTTAGAGAGATTGGCGGAAGGAGGCTTTATGGAGTTTGCTGCAAGCGTTTATGTGTTTGGTAAGAGAAGCTAGGGGCAGAATCGATAGATTTTCAGACGGGACATCTCACCTTGTCAATTCAATTCAAATGAAGTGTCAAAGGTCTCGACACTTGATCTTATCGTAGATTACTGTAGGTCTTTTAAAGGTAGGCTTTTTAAGGCACTAGATCGGCAACATTGCCGAGCTTAGAATCTTGTACAATTAAATGTTTCTTATGACATAGTCTCTTATTTAACTCTTCGATCTTATAGTCTGTACCATATTTGAGGTAGGCAATCCACTTTTGATCCCATGAAGATGCTTCATCAGGCGTATCATGTTTGATGTAATCTCGCACAATTCAATTCCCACTGAAAGCTTTAGACCAACTTGTTGAAAGAATTTGACAAGTTGCATGCATCATACTCTGATATATAAACTAATATATGTCGTCATCTAGCCGGCACGAAGTTGGAACGGCACAGGCAGCTGTGATTTGCAATAAGGTTTAGCGAAGCCCATCCTCGTTTGGTATCAACGGAGAGCTGATTGCACTGATCATTCACAGCATCATGTAATTATTGAAAGAGTAGTTAGTTGGCACTTTAACTTGACATCACTTATTCATGCACTGCTGGGCACATTTGGCAATGATATGCCTTAGCAAGATTATGAGTTTTCAAGCTAATGATAATTGCATTCTTAATCTGAAGCCACTGTAAGTTATCCAAGTAGATAGGTTTATCTTCGTTATTTTAGGAATTTAAATTTGTTCATGTCCTAGAATGGTGCATTATATGAAGTGAAGGATGTGTGGCAAGAACTAAGGCATTTTCCGTAATCTGAATGTTTGATTACTCTAAATGCCACACAAAGATCAAACGGGATTTCACACTATATGGAATGGTTCATTCGTTAGGGTTTTTAATTGTACATTGTGATTTTTTGGATCTGATTTCTAAATTGTTGTTTGAAGCCTAATCTCATTTGATACTTTCACTGTAGTACGTTATGCCGGGTTGAAAGATATTTGGCAAGAGTTTAAACATTCATCACAATTTCCATGCTTAATTATTTCACAAGCCAGATAGAGATCGAACACGATTAAGTGTCTTGTGGAATGGTTGATATGGAAGACAGTCACTTCACATAGTGAACAAGTGAGAATAAGGGGAATCGTATAAGATGAAATTCATTACAACATTGTACATCATTTGAAAATAGCTTAGGAGAGATATTTTGATTGAACTTTGCAGATCAATGTACAACACATCTAAAAAAGAAAGTAAATTTCACATTAGAGGTGAAATTGAATTTAGAGATAATACACCATATTTTTGTAATGTTTTCAATTCGTTACAGTTTTGCAGCTACTATTGGGCTAGAAATACGTTACTTTCATTTGGATTTATAATTGTCAATTATGCGATTGTCAATGAAAAGAAAGTTCAAATTTTATGATGAAATGTAATATGTAGGTTTAAATAATGACCTATAAAAAGTATACGCGAAGTGTAAGAAGTTGGATATCCTGATTATCATACTTTGACAATACTAGATGATTTGTAAAACCTTTGAAAATCATCAAATGCAATAACATGATGGTTTTTTTTCCATAAGTAAATGTTATAACAAGGCTTACAAGATTGTAGTTCTAATTATTTCTATCCAGATTTAACACCTGAAGAAACATTTCAGAAATTGAAGACAAACATCATTGTGATTTTTTTGGCTGGACATTTTTGGATTATCAAATTTGCTACATGCAATAACAATAGACAAAAATAAATTTTAACTCAATGTCATGAGCTTTAGATTTTCAAAATTCTTCAGATCAAACTATGAAAAATTAACATGATGCAACTTAACTATTTGCAGATGAACAAATATTTTTGAATAATCTTATACTAAATGTAGAATAATCCACTAAACTATGCTTAATAAACTACTAAACTATGCTGCTGTTTCAGTTTAATAACACAACTACTTTAAAGTTACATAATAGGAACCTTAACTATTTATCATATTGACATTAATTCCATATACGTACAATTATACATAGATATTGTTCTCAAGTATTCACATTATAACTTTGCCATCTGCACTAGTAGATTGATAATAGCTTTCCTTGCAGCATGCAAAATGTCAAGCTTAAAACAATATCATCTTCAGTATCTTTAAAAATATTATATTAATAAGTAGTGAAAACTAATGGATTTGCAGTAAATTATTGCCAATACGCTAATCTCTGTTTCATTTAAAGATCAAATTCTGTGTTATATTATTCATCGCATACAAACTATCTGAAATGTTGCAATTGATAATTTGAATCATCTACTTTTAAATAACATGTTTCAAAATTTTCTCACTGAACTTGATTTGTCATTCATAAGTACTATATTTTATCTCCAAGTCATTTGAATTTATCATTGTTGTTTTTTCGGCTCATCTTTTCAAAAGTAAAAAAAATATAATATTTTTACATCACTGTCCGAAGAAAAATAGTTTTGATCAGATGACATATTATAGATATTAAATAAGAAGTTTTTGCGTTATTTTTTGAAGTATTCAGAAGCAAACTCATTTAAATTAGGATAAATAATGTATTTTTAACCAAACCTTTCATTTCAAAAACACTCAAGTTGACCAAATCTCATAGTTGTCAACTATGTGATTTAAGTCGTTATTAAATCTACAGTGCTTGATTTGCTATGTATTAGCCATGCACGTAGTAGACAAAAATATGAAATAGGCCAGTGAGATGATACTAGATGAAGTATTTGTTGCAACCAGTAATGACGGAGTGATCTAAATCTTTATATCATAATTTGACAAATTCACGCATAGAACTTTTGTAAGCGACCTCGATGGGGTGGGTGCTGAGGGCATAAATCAAATCGTATTGTCAAGTTCTATCTCATGATATGCTAATGCAACACAATTGAAAGTACGCCACCATGGCTTACGAAAGAAACAAAAGAGGTTCAGATGTCAGTGGCCAGAAAAACTGGTACAAACTAAGTACGCCGGCATTTAACACATCTCCTCTAGAGGTGATAAAAACGCTCCTTTTGAAAATGTCGAGAATAGTAAACTGGACATTTAAACTGTTGGGTCCCTTGTCCAACCAGAATTTGCTCCTGAACCTATTAAGATGGCAATCTAATCATTTGTAGTCCCATGATACCCGAGGACTTCTATCTAGCTAAATTAACTATCCACTTGGACCCCTCGGTCTCACTCAACTGGCCATCATCAGTGATATCCTGATTCCAATATTTCCCTATGCTAGTGGCTTCCGCGACCAAAATTTAATGAGCACCACCATGTATGCTCCTATATATCTAATTTTCCTACTCATTCCTCCTGAAATTTCATTGAAGGATGTATCTACAAATACCTTTAATTCTTGCTCATTTCTCTGCAAAGTTAGGAGTCAGTGAATTTAGCCAGTTAGCGATTTTCGACAAAACGAATTACTTTCCTCCAGTCCAACGTGCTGATTGCAACTTTCCCTCCAAGCCCTTTTCATAAATCCAGACAACACTTTCATCGATGCACCCAAGAAGCTGGGAACTTTGGAGTAAAGATTTAATTTCAAAAGTAGGCTTACTTGATCTGATACTTCTCTTTCGCATCTTCAACAGCTTTTCGATTCAAATTTTATCCATCGACTCAACCTCCCATGTGGCAAGAAATGTTTCCTGCTCGTGAAAGTTGTTTGAATACTTTGAATTTTCAGACTCTTACGCCACTCCGGCGTTGACTTGTCAAAGTTTGCCTGCATCTTTTCACGGTAATGCCAATCAACAAACTTCATCTACAACTCATATTCGGGTTAAAAAATCCACTGCCGCAATGATATCAATTTCTTCAGCACTGTCGATATTGAAACACAAAGAAACTGCATGTTTGGCTTCAAGCAACTGGTTTCTTACTTGAGGTAGCCTTTGGTCAAACACAACTGTCTCCGATTGCAACGTGTCTTCGTAGCCAGTGCGAGGTCAGGTCCAAAACCAGGAGCTGCGACCGACGAGCCCGAGCAGGACGGAGTTCAGTCAACAAAGACTCGAGATGGCTCTCACTTCAGTTGAAGAGCTGTTCATCTTGACACATCCCACTAACCTCTTCACTTTTATGGCACTGCAGGAACTTCATCACGAACTGTGGAATTTTTTTCTACCGCGATTCCTGTTTTATCAGATCAAGCCAGAAACCTTCGTCAAGATTATGACCACAATACAAGTAAATCTCTCTGCTAGAATTAAATAGATGTCTCCTTATATTTAACTTGATTACAATTTCTTCACTGAAGCAGTCCTTTTCAATGTAAAAAATGTAGAGCGAAATGACCCGGCTTTGATCAAACTTCTATCGTAACGCTCAGAACAACACAGTAACATGACCTAGTTGCAATCTCTTCTGTCCGCCCGTCATCTCCCACTCTGCACCATCTTTCGGCAAACATGTTCAGCATAAGCGGAAGAAGAGACGCCAAACTGACTAGTAGTGCTCCTGCAGGGTCTTTGCAGCAATCTAACCCCGAATATAACAAATAACGATCGAAAGGAAGATCAGTTCCAGGCGTATATCTACAGATGGAAAGAATGCAGGAGAAAGCAACGAACGAATGCAGTCTGGACAAATAAAAAGTCTAATAAAATAAGTGAAGACTACTTTCTGATAAGCTCCAAGATACTTCGCTAAACGAGAACGAGCTTACACAGTTAGCAGTGGCAGGTTAGAGTACGAAGATCAGAAAGACAATGCAATTGATACATAAAACATAAAGGAAGGATTCTAATTCTGTTACTCCGGAGGATGAGAACACAAACGCGTAACCAACACAGAGCGGGTTAAAAACTGGATGTGGAGATCTTGAGGTAGTGATAACGAAGTATCGACGGAGCAATTCACAAGCTTGTGAACTCATATGATGAAGGGCAGCATCAAAATGTGAAATTAATACTTACTCACCTCACTCGGCAGTAATCTAAAGCCAGGAGTAGATTGTTGGCTTGAGGTTACTGTCTCTTGTAAGGAGGAGCTCCATGCTAAATAGAAGATTGATTCGTCATTACCTGCCAGACTAGCTGTTTCAAATATACTGCTTGTTCTTAACAGTTAAGATTACTCATGAAGTTACTACTGGCTAACAGAAGTAGATTTAGTATTACTACATAGGAATAGTCTATTCTAAAACATGGCCCTCCTTGGGTTCACCTGATTCACTACCGAAGGATTCTCTTCCACTGTGTATCAGAATATCTCAGTCCTTTTAGCCTCCAAGATTTTTCATATATTGGATACAATCTTCAAACCAACAAATATTATGCAGACGCGTTTAACTACCAACCAGAAGACAGAATCTATATACCACGGCTGAAAGGAACAGTCATTTGAATTGAGTGAACATGTGTACATACTTGAATCCAGTTCAAGGCCAGCTTCTGTCCTTCCCTCTCCTCTTGGAGGAGCGTTCTTCGCCAAGTCATGGCCTCTTTTTTTGCTAACTTGATGACTGCAGCCGGCACTTACTTCAAGACCTTTAAACTTCGCTCTCGCTCTGGTTTTGATTGCTCTTTCTGCCTTCTGCCCCTCGGGATCTGGTGAATTTTGCCTAGAGGTCCTGCTATTGGCGCAACCACCCGGTGCTTCAGTTCCCAACTGCACAGCATCTTGTGTCTCCGTCCGGAAGGTTTCACCCTTATTTATCCCATCTTGATTCGAAGTTTGTAACTTCATTCTGCTCTCTCTTTCCAAACTTTCAGCACTGCTTGGTCCTGCTGCTGGAATAACAAGCAGTTCCGTAAGTTCTCCTCTCATCCGTTCGCCTGTAGGAGAGTCTTCGCTTTCGATCTCTTCCTCTTCAAACTCAATGCTGCTCTCCTGAAAATAAAGTCAAAGCGTCAAAAGTGTCCTTATGAACGATCGACGAGAATTGACTCGTGTTCATCATGTCATTTATCACAAAGACAACACTAGGAGCGCTCACCACAACAAATCTGTACTTAGCCAGAAAATTTCCTACACCTGATGTACTAATGCCTGACGGTTAGTAATACAGACGTAGACATAAGTAGATTTTGCCGTGAAGAAAACCACTAAACTAGGTTTCCTTAATTTCACTATAAGCATATGAAGGATCCATACTGCAGTTTCGAGCCTTGTGGAACTCAACTCATGCGTAAGGCAGTCCAGCATGAAAGCATCAAAGCGACCCATGTTAAAACATGGGTCGCTGTATGGTGTTAATTATCTTATGTGAAAACTAGGTGTCCAATACTAGAGACAACGGTTATTCAGGGACGATTTAAACACGCTAGACAATGATCGAGCTTAAGGGTGGTAATACTAAGCGTACCAACATGGAATGGTGAATATGTGATAGACAAAGGAAAGACAAAAAACGTTTTGAAACCAAAAAAAAAGAGGAGATACAGATGAACCGTTGAGAAGGTCTAGTACTGGAGCTCATGTCTAGAAGAGAAAGTGACTCATAAGTTTTACTCATGGCCTTGGTAGACCAGACTAGACAGTCATGTGTGACTGTTTAGTCTGGTTCACTGAAATCTGAGTAGCATGCATACGGATCCAGTCATCTCTAAAGCTGCAATTCTCATCTATTGAAACAATACTAAAGCTGCTTACTTTGAACTGGTTCGACGCAGGCAGCTCGATTTCAGCGTCTTTGTCTGAGTCTCCCATCTCCTCGTGTTCGAATTCCACACCAATGCCAGCTTCGTCTTCAGAGTCGCTCAATTCCTCTTGCTCCATGACTATAACGTGAGGTTCCAATTGTGGATCTTCTATTCGTTTTACCACTCCTTCTTGAGTTTTCTGTTTCCTTCTCCTCTGTCCAACTTTTAACCCAGCTTCAGCGGCTATCGGCTGACAAATTTTCGGACTATGACTTTCATCTGTCTGGACCTGTGTGCATCCTATTACAGCCTTATCTGTACTTTGTTTCCCGTTTTGCCTCGCTCTTCCAGTTTGCTTCACGGAAGGCGATTTTCGGCTCCTTCTGGCACTGTTTTTCTTATTCAAAGGACCACTGTTTGGAGCGACTTGGTCCTTCTGAACTTTTGAAGGTTGACTCGGCTCGACCAGGATTGCAGTTTCCAGTTGATCAGCAACACCTTCTCTCGGAACAACCTTGCTTTGGGCTTTTGAGGGAACATTGGACGAGATTTTGGATGCAGGACCCATTGAGCAATCTGACTTGAGCAGAGCAGGGGTTCTGGAATGCTCGCGTTCACGGATTTTAGGGTGACAGGAAGTCCCAGCCTGAACACACGGCAGAGGTAAATCGCATTCCTGTATTTCCGTAGACACGTCTTCCGAAAATGTTGAAACGTGAGGAGCACTTGAAGAATTAGAGAAGACCACTGGAGCTCTCTCCTTTCGTCTTCGCGATGTAGATTTCAAAACGGACGTGCCTCGACTGCCTGCCACTGCTCCAGGAACAGCAAGCAATGTGTGGCCAAAACTTTGCGAAGGCACAGGGGTACTTTCTATGGAAGGTGAAGGATTTAGAGGATACACATTCGCCTGAACCAGCTCTGCCAAGGGCTTCATAGGCGCTAGTGTTTGATTCAAGTCAACTGTAGGTACCGGTTGTGATATTCCAAACTTTTTGTCCAAGTCCTTGGCTAGTCTCTGGAGGTCCACGTTGGTTGCTGTAACAAATGAACCACCAGCTTCATTCGCTGGTGGCAACTCGGTTGTAAGATGTAAGATGGGTTCAGTTGTACTTGTCTTACGGTGCTCAGCTGGCGAAGGGGTGGGTTTTGAGATAGCGCGACGGTTCTGCTTACTAAAAGGTTTTGCCCTCACAATTTGAGGCAAGAAGGTTGACATATAACGGGAAGGGTTTACCGTTACTGTCCTGTCAATGCTTTGGCCTGTAATTCGAGACCACTTCTGTTCTGTAATGTGAGACCATCGAGAACTCAATGGGTTCAAGTAAAACTCCGTACCGCCGGTGGAAGGACGAGGTGGCACTGCTGGCACAAGGGCTTGGGAGAGAACATGAACATGGGGAGGGAGCTTCACAGATGGTAGGTCAGGTGCAAGTTTTACAGTTTGCTTTGTAACGTTAGAACCGAACATAAGTGCTTGGCGGTTGTACCAGTTAGATGAACCAGGAGCCAGGTTGAATGCAGGTACAGCAGAGACTGGTTTCATATCTGTTACTTGATCCACGAGTACTTTCTTTTTCTTTGCCACAGATGCTTTGGTCTTTGTTCGCTGGGTAGGAAGCCCTCCAGGAAGAGAGAGAGGGGCACCAACAGAGGCAGACTTACTGGGGCACCAATCTGCTAAAAAGGCTTCTCTAATGTAAGCATCTTCGACATGTTCTTCGTCCTCACCACTGATGACGTCTCTACCTTCGATACCCGTCTCGACAGAAGATGGGCCAGAGTCCTGCAGCGAAAAAAGGTTTCAAGGTTCACTTGGACCACTGTCCTTAAAAATGTACTTCTACTGACTAACTAGGGGATTCAAGTACGTGTTAGATATATTCATATTTCTACAGCAAAGTTTTGGATAAAGAACTTCTTGAAGTTTGTGTGTATTCCTCCGTAATGCCACGTCTGACTTCCCTAGAGAAGTTAAAGACCTACTTACCTTTTTCACCTCTAATCCATATTCACTTGCTTTCTTGGCTTGGCGGCGATTTGCCTCATAGACTCTACGTCTTTCTTTGGATGTCTCACTTGTTTTGTATGATTTTTGTGTTCCGAGGGCTATACGCCACTGCCGAGGTAAAATAGCGGGGTCTCGATGTGGTACGCAGAACTCCCAAACTTTATTCCAATCATACTTATAGATCTTCAATCCCTGCAATAAAAAATTAATCAGTCCCATAAAACATCGAATTAAATCACAGGTTTCTAATTTCCGGATCATAAAATCAGACCAAAACTTACAAGTGATCCCAAAATCGATATTGAAAGTTGAGAAGTTACTGTGTTATCTTTTACACATTATAGTGCAGTACAACTCATGAGAAAGTTCAGACCGAAAATATACCTCTTGGATGCAGGCCTTTTCAACAGCCGTCAAAGGTGACGACTTCATCCTGCGAACTGCCTACATATGGGACAACCTTTGTCAGGAAAACCTTTCAAGTTAAAGAAGTTCCAGAACAGTGCAAATAAAGGGTGCTTTACACGGCGACAAATGGTGCTAATCACAGAATCAGTGTCCAACCGAAAGACGAAAAATAAGTTGCACAGAGCATGAGATTCAAAGAGAGAAGTACATCGTGTGACTTAGAAGTACTTTACTACAAAAAAGCTCATATAGATTCAACAGAAAGGATTAGAGGATGACAGAAATAAGCAGCTATTACAATCAATTAAATGGATTCTGCCCGCTAAAACCCGGAACTAGCTGTCCTATGTTTCTAACACATGATCCTCCTTGAACATCACACACGCAAAGCTAAAATTCCATTCTCTAATCTGTGTGGTTTTTTCAACCACAGTACACTTCTGCAATCCTTAATCACCCCAACCTTTCAGAATGAAAGGCGGATCAACAAGGACAACTGCACCCTCATTACAGCCCTGTATGCAACCTCGACACATGCTTTCTTAGTGCAGGTATTGCTAAATCGCTAAGTAAAATCACAGACGTAATATTCAAAGGAGCGCATTCCATTCGATTGGACAGTCTTAGCCAAGGATAGAAACGAAGTAGCAGTAAGTGCTCAACTCCAAGGCCGTGTAAAATTCTAGTCAACAACCACAAAAATATCCTTTGATAATAAAACCCGAGCTTGCATATATCAATCTCAGTAGATTTATTCAACACTCGACAAGACTTACAAACTAAGCTTTATACTGACAACAAGTACTAAAATCAGCAGATGGTGAACTCACCTTGATCGAATTTTCTGGAGCCCTTGCAGAGCTGCGATTTTTCTGCCGTACAAAAATCTGCAACATTCATGCTGCTAAAGTTAAAGATACTGATTGTGAAAGAGACATTTTAAAAACGAATGGACATCATATCCACATCAATCGGCAAGATTAACACAGTAAGCGTGAATTGTATTCAATTTTTTTTTGCTTTGTTAAGTTAGGAAAGACAGTCCTTTTAGGTGTCGTACTCGCCCCTTGGCAGTGTTCACTAAGAATTTTTCATATCGCCCTTGATTAGGTGGAGGTAATCGTTCCTAGCAACGTTTATTTACGCTGAGGATAAATAAGAGGTTTTCAATTCCAGCGACAGGAACACTCAGGAACACTCAGGAATAAGGTAGAAAATAACCTCTTAAGGAGGATACATCATTACAGTAACACGTATTAGATGCGCAGTTCATACAAGACTAAGCACCATGAACACTACTGTGGCCATGCAGTGCCAGTTCACCTTATCCTCAATTGTCTATCTTAGAATGTTTGCGACTAGCTCTGCAGAGATTTCATAGAATCTCTAACATGCTCCAGATGAGGAACAATGTCAGAGATATTCGAGAAGTTATTTGTAAGCGCGAGTAACGAGAAGTCAGCCACCTAAGACTAAAAAGGGTGAAGTGCTATGTAATAAATCATGAAACGTTCCGCTTCTCACTTTATTCAGCTACCTATACTCACTTCTCCAGTGACACCATAATTGGCAAAAGAGTAACAAGCAAACCGGCTGTCTGCCAAATTCACGTCGGTAGTTGTCGACAATACTTTTGATAAGATCTTGAATTACAATCTCCTTGAAACCTCCGATAGGTTACATGATTCTATCATATAATATGGGAGACATCCAATGTCGTGCTCTCGTGGCAAGAAGAGAGTACCAGTACATGCGTCATACCTGATGCATAGTTTTGGAAGGAAGAAAGCGCTGCTGGATTGACGTCCAGTCATTGTTATAAATCATAAGACCCATCGCAAGCAATCTACAGAGCAAAAAAATTGACCGAGATTAGAGCAAGATATATTAAAAGAACCTTAAGTGTATGAAGACATCATGATACTTCGCTAAGAGTATGGGGAGAAGTCTGGTATATACCTGTACGTTGAGAATAGAGAATCAGGAATGACGTCAACCCTAGAGAACTTCAAAAACCTATGCAAAGGCGACTAGCAAGTCGGACTTCAATGAAAAACAAGATTCACGAAGACGCCACAATTCATTGCTAGTGCAGACGAGAACGCCAACTAAAGTTAAAGGTAAAAGATTACGCAATAAACTAAGAGAAGGGTCCACCAAGAAATTTCTACCTAAGAACAAAGAAGCTTTTTAAGGGGAAAACATACTCATCCTCTGCATCCGTGAACAACAGTCGAGCTGCAGCAGCCATTGGAGGAGGTTTGTGCGGAAACAGGGCTTCGTTAAAGAAGGGCAAAAAGCGCTGGACGGCATTTGCAACATCCTTCGGAACCAGGGCAAGGCTTTCTTTCTTGGTGCTTTCCACCAAAGCAGCTGCCATAGTTTTCTTGATCGGAATCCGAGGTGCTGATACCGGCAAGGACTCTTTGAAATGAAATGACAAAGACGACGGCCTTGCTTTTAAGTTTTTCCTAGCATCTCCTTCGCGTTGATCGGATATTGAAATCATGAAGAGTGGCTCCCGTTCGCACTCACTGTGATATGCCCCACTCTCTACATGACGCTGCGTGTATTCCTCGGCAACTGGAGGTGAGCATGCAAATAGCAATGAATTGTGACGTTCATAATCAAGAGTATTCAGAATAACGACGAATTCAAAATTTATTTCGATGTTATCATATAAAGGTGGCGACAAAGTTTCACTAGATGCAGAATCACAATAGGATCAGATAGTTTTCAATAAAAGATTCCATGGCCACAAACTTGATGCACATAAGCAAATAACTCTTCGAGACTGATGCTGAACATGGACCTATGGAGCGATATTAATGCAGCGGCTTTCACGCGGGAAAAATGACGAGTTTGTAGGCTTAATCGTACCCCGAGACATGTCGTCCAAAAAATCCCGAACTAGAGCAAGAGGAGCCACATCCAGTAGCGATCTTACAGGACCTGATGTCACAGGTGCCCATTCTGAGGTTACAGCATTCAAATGACCATGTCCTTCCTCACCAGCAGCACCGAACGACTGCGGCGCCTTCTTCGATGACGCTAAAGAACATGAACTTGGCAGCTGTGAGGTTGCAGGAGCGACAGGCTTCATTAAGATTGGACCCCTTAACGAACTTTCTCCAAAGCAAGTACCAACTTGCACATATGGCAATACTGAGGAGTGATCGGTTACGTGCGTCTGCATCACAACCAAAATGCTCGAGTAGTCAAACACACCACACTACGTATTGTAAGGAAACCCAGACGGATCGGACTCTTCAAAAAAATTTGCAGATAACTGTAACATCAATAGTGTCGGATCGCTCACCGTATCTGCAACTCCGATTGTTGTTGGTACTGCTCCTGAAGTGTGACATATGCTTAAAGTTTGGTGCCATCTTTGAGATAAATCTGATGGATGATCTAGGAGAAAAGGCGTTGAGTCTATAGTTCCTGAGTATGTAGAAGACTGAGGGACCAAACTAAGGTTAGAACAGGACAGCAGGTTCAGCTTTCTCGGTGGTAGTGCCGAAGTTGAAGAACCACTTTCCATTGAGCTCCACAAGACCATGTCACCGTCTGATACATATGCCGAAGTTACTGGATAGGAATCTAACCCACCGGTCGTATCTCTGCTACACGCTTCCTGATCACTGGGTAACTGAAATCTGTGTGCTAGAGTCTTCTCCTCTTCTGTTTCGGTGAAAGACGGATGAGTATAAGGAGGCTGGAAACAAAAATCAGGAAATGCAGTTTTCTTCCAAGACAGAACCAGATCTCTTTTGTCCGCCATCTCCGTTAACATTCTGCGAGTTTCCTTCGCTATCTTGTGACGTGTTGGCTCCAGAATGCACATGGAGTACACTTGAACGAGGAGTTGCACATGCTCATGTATTAAACAATATAACTGCCCTATTTGATGGGCAGTAAACCCATTTACTGGCACCTTCTTTTTCTGATTTGGTGCCCAACCTTGATCCCCTCCGTCTGCTACGTTTCTCTTTTCAGTTACATGAGCACTGTATTGCAAATTACTGGTATTAGGTAATAAGGGGCGTAGAGGAGCCTTCATCTGACTCAGATGGAGTCCTCTGTTGTGCGTTTTGGCTCTCTGCCTTCGATTTTCTCTTGTTTCTGGTCGTCTCCTTTTTCTCTTTTTCGTAAACCCTGATGCATCATCGTAATCACTTTCCAATGCCTCCTCAATTTCAAATTCGAAATCGGCATCCTCCTCCTCGTCATCCTGGCGTTGCTCATCGCCACCATCCTCTTTTTCCTGCACGGCAAGTAGAAATTTCCTGTACTCTTCCTCGTCGTCAACGTTTTGAAAGTACTCTTCTTCGTCAGACTCTTGCAGAAACATCTCCAATTGATCCAGTGACATATCAGCCAACGAATAATGGGCTCTAGTGCGCTTGGAAATAGCATCGACCGAATCATCTCCCAAATCATCGCTGCTGTCGCCCCTCAGTATCTCTTCGGAGTGCATGGCACGCCTGAAAATTTTCAACTCCGGCAGAGTGTCCATGGATCGCCCCGGCGTTTCTGTCTCCGTCTCGTACAGGAAACCATGTGTGCTTACACCAAGACTTTCGTCATGTTCTTCCACTCGCTGTACAGGATCTAAAATTTGATCAGCACCAGGACCATGATTACCATCCTCGTCGTCCTCCGACCTACTCCGGACTGCCATATGCTTCCTAGCTTTGTCCAGGGAGCCACTCTTCGCAGAAAAACCTTCCAGCTCCGAATTTACACCACCGACTTGCACCATTTCGTCCTGGTACTCCTCTTCAAACTCGTCTTCCTCGTCCTCATCGCTTCCCAGTTCCAAAAATTCATCCTCATCGAGGTACTTCTCCCTTTCCGTTTCCTTCTCCGAATTGTGCAGGTCCTCCCCATTTAAGCTCTCCTCTTGAATCTCCAATTCAACATCATCTTCTGTCTCCTCGATCTCGCCTTCTCCCTCCGAACTATCTCCTGATCCCCCGTCCAGTGAAGGAGAAAGTTGAAGGTAGGGGTTGAAATCGACGTCGTCATCGTCTTCCTCCATGGCATCTTCCGCTGCCATCTTATCAAGTTTCACAGCAATCTCAACATAATCTACATCGCCTCCACCAAGGGGCTAACTAAGATTGCAAAGTGCATGACGTACGAATTCCATGATTCACAAAGCGAAATCAATTTGAACAAGCTGTATAAAAGTAGACAGAAGAGTAAAGTGGAGACTCGTACGCCATACTTCAATGATTAACGTGAAGATTAAAAAAAAAACACGACAAATGTGGGCAGTGAAAAATTTAATGGTCGCAGATTTGGACAGATGAGCTCGTGAATTAACCTAACGCCCGTAACAACGAAAGCGGAAAACGTGCACCGATGGATGCGGATAGATAAAGTTGTAATATTTTCCTGACTTCTCACGTCATTTGCAAACTTCCAATCGGGCAAATTGTGGTCGTCCGAGAACGAGAGCAAAATTCTGATGAAGCCAAGCAGCTCAGCCCCATTCGCCTAACTAAGAATAAATATCAACGGGGGTGTCAAATTTCGCTGCGGGTGAATGTTTCAAGCTAGAATGAGAAGGAAATTCCAATTCCAATTCCAATTCCATTTGCACAAACAGCTGGCAAAAATTGGAAATGAAAGAAACAACTCCACCACAACACGAACACATTACTGGGGCCTCCGAGACAGGAAGGGAACAGAGGAAGAGAATTGAAGGGGAGACGTGAGGTAACTGCGAGGAGAACACCAGAACGCTATAATCCCTCCCAATAACAAAAAAAAAAACCGCTGACGTTTCAAGGTTGGCAGGAGAATGGTGACGAATCTCTGTGACAAAGCTACCAAAGAACAAACGAGGTAATCAAATCGAAATGCACAGACGCAGGAAAAGGGAGCATCTGAATGACAATGGCGAACGAAGCAGAAGGGGAGGATGAAAGAAGAAAAAGAAGCCGAGCAACGAGCGACACTCTGAAGCTTAAACTCCACTTCGTAATCGAGGCAATGCATCAATCCTTCGTGCCGGAATGTCCGTCATCGTCCCGGACACCATTTTTCTCTCGTCGTACTCAAATTCTTTCGATTCTCACTTCGATCCGCCCTGACATCCCCTCGCAGCATTGCTCACGCGCGTGCGTGTGTCCGGCATGGAAAAAGGAAATAATAAATAATTATAATAATAATTAATGAAAAGGCCGCCGTCGATTTTCATTCGCTCGGGGGAAGTCGAAGGAGCCCTGCATCCTCACATTTACCAAGACCCGAGCAATTGCTTCTGTCACCGGCAGCGAATCATAACTTAATCTTGAGTCCATTCCCTTCAATTTATTTTTCACAAGGCATTCGCCCTAGGCAAAATCCGACTCGACAGTCCACGGGCACCGGGCGAACAGGCTACTTGCCAGTGCCGGTGCCACGACCAAACTGACACTCGACCGGCTGCGCTGGGTCGGTTTCGCCGGTCCGTGGTTTCACGTGTTTCCGGCAAATTGGCAGTATCCTTGGAGGCTCTCCGATGAAGTATGTTCTACTAAGACGCGAGCCAGACTCCTACAAGAACTCAGACGATGGCGTCCTGGCGAAACCCTTCGACTGAATAAGCCTAAACCCTGAGCCCCCCAATCGCCTTCCCTTTGCTATATATTCGAGCACGCGGCAGAGTATGCAGAATGTGGACTCTTCATCATCTGCGGCTGCGAGGCTGGTCTCACGGGAGTATCGAACTGTCTGCATCGAACTCAGATAATTAGGTGTTTCCAGTTTCCAGACTAGACCTGATCCGGCGCGATCGATGTCCGATCGGAGGGAGCTGTGACCGAACGAATTGACTTGATTGTGCGGGATGAAGTGGTGGTGGTCAGATTTGGCGGAATGCCGGTGGAGGAAGAATTGATCACGGGTGGGGGTTGAACTTCTGATTGAGCTGATTGGGCCTGTGCGATTTTCTGTTTAGCTCCAGGTTTCGATGTTTCGGAAGAGTGTGCTTCGGATCCACCCGATCCTTTCAGTGCGACCGCTTGGAGGCTGGCTTTATGGTAGGCTGCACTTTGACCACAGGGTCTGCTCTGTCGACTGCGAGAGCTTCTCACAGCTCGGAGATTCCAGTGCCCAGAATAGTATTCGGCGATACGCAATTCAGACTGAATCCGACAGTGGCATTTGTGTTGAGAAATTTTCAGGTACATCTGTGGAAGTCCCTGCTCGGAAGAGTACTATTTCCAAGAGACCTTCAGGGACCGCTGGGACCGAGTATCTAAATCGCACTGTATTAGAATCGAGAAACATTTCCAGACCTGTAACTGTCGGGAATGTCGTTACCGAAAATTCCTCTGGCGACGTTTCGTTTGGATTTGATGAAGCGCAGCGCATTACGGAAGAGAAGCTCACTTGTGATCAAGTCTCTCAGAAAAACTCCACGAATGGAGCTTCCAACTCGAATAGTAACCAGGGCGGAAAGCTGGAAATTTTGCTTTCTCCGGAAGAAAGTAGGGAGGTAGATAATTTCGCAGACGTCGGTTTGGCTCTTCGAAGCTCCTCGAGCGAAGATGATGGGGACGTGGAAAAGAAGGCCTCGGCACAGGCTTTGGCATTATTAGAAGCTGCCTTAGATGCAGCAGAGGAGGAAGGAGGAGTTGTAAGAAAAGAAGACCAGCTTTCCCTGAGAGTAGCTGTTGTGGGCGCCCCCAATGCTGGAAAATCATTGCTCACGAACAAACTAGTAAGTTGACCTTTTGCTTCACTATTTATCAGGTCATAGAGCAAGTAGAGATGAGACGAGTTCAGACTGAGGTGATAGTTTTGGAATGATCAGTCCGCACGATTATGTGTTGTGTTCACTGGACCTTATGAGGTGGAGTGGTATGGTATTGGCAGGTCGGCACTCGGGTATCTGCTGTGTCCCGCAAAACCAACACAACTCATAGAGAACACCTTGGTGTGTACACCAAAGGCGACACACAGCTGGTACAAATTTGTCTTGGAAACAGAATGCAATTCTCTTGATTGTTACTTGCGCACGAAAACTCTTCACTCCGGCTGGGGTTTTCAATTTGCGAATGGGGTGAATTGTCTATTTCCTGCAAGTTGTACTGCTTCGCCTGTGTCGATTTCTTGCTTTACAATTGCAATCCGGTGCACTTCTGCAAGCACGGGTGAATAATATATCAATCTCATGTCACCGTATGCTTGACCTCTTGTGCCCGGTCGTGACAGTGTTTCTACGACACTCCAGGACTCCACCTTGACATAGAAGGATCCCCGCTTAGGGTGGACGCACAAAGTAGGGTTCAAAGTGCATGGCAGACAGTCGATACTTGCGAAGCTGTGGTGGTCCTTGTCGATGCCGAGCGTCAGATTAGAAGGTAAAGCAAGCTTCATTAGGTAGTATGTCCGTTTTTAAAGTTTTCTCACTCTCTGTCCAGTTAGGTCAAAATTGAATTATGTCTTGCCAGGCAATAGGTGATTTAGGAGCCAAAATACATTCACATGTCTTCTTTCTAGTACCAATAGTGGAGCTGTACTGTCGCAGGCCCGACAGAAGAGTCAAGAAGCTCATAGAGAAACTTGGCATGGAACAGGTTGTCGACCAGAAAAAGATTCTGTGCTTGAATAAGGTTGATCTGATTGAGCAGAAAAGGCTTCTCCTTCCTCTTGCCAAGGAATACGAGAGCCTTCCAGCTTTTGACAGGTAGGCATTGGGAAGTGCTGTAGAAACGGGTAATTTTTTTTTAATGTGACTTATTATTCTTAACTTTGAAAAGTGTTGGAAGAATTTCATACGTTGCTTGTATTGTAGAGACTTCATGCTCTGTTCTTGCAGTCTTTCAACCAGAGCAGATTCAATGCTGTGATCAATGAGAAGCCTTCTGTTTCTTTTCGCAGAATATTTATGATATCAGGATTGACCGGAAGTGGAGTAAAAGACGTCAAAGACTACCTTATGCAACAGGTAATTGATAGGACTGTAGGCCTAGGAAGTAGGATTATTGTAATATTGCATAGTTGCAACAACCAAAAGTACAGTTGAGTCTTGAGTCCCTTAGTGTGCTGTCTTGAGATACTAGCGACCAACATTTTTCTTCTTTTTCACGTATCTCGTCCTCATGTTGTTTCTTGACTTCAGACCATCTTCGCCAGTTTGGCCTGGTCGATTCCCTTTTAGTGGTCACCACTCGCCGATCTATCATCTGTTTGGACCTAATTCCATGATTTCTGTAGGCAATTGCTAGTCCTTGGGAGGAGGAGGCAGAATACACAAACCACCGTGATATCGCTCTAGAAATTGTCCGTGAGCAGGTTTTTGAACACCTGCACGAGGTATGTTTTTCATAGATGTTAAGACAATGCCTATTTGTCTTCGTCCTACGTTCACATCGTTCAACTTCTACGTTCAACTTCTTTGAAAGTAAACAAACTAAGATTACCATACAACCATACTGCACTGTGACCTTCATTCAGAACTCGGATAGAAAGTTGAGACCCAAGTTACGTTGTATGCAACTTACCACGACCCGCGTGTGCAGTTGCTGATGCGTTTCGTTTTGAATGCTAGTGGTGAGATAGGTTAGCGCCGTGCCGTGTAGTTTAATGGTATTATTAAGTGGAAATGTTTTACCAATCTCAATCACAACAGCCAGTTCTTGCATTCTGTGGATCTGCTTGTAATCTCCCTGGTTCGTAGTATCATTGTAGCGTAGACTTTACGCTGGTCAACAGTGCCACTGAATGTAAGTGTTCCTACTTCAGGCTTACAGTAGTTGAGCCCCTTATTATATGTCTAGTAATGTGTCCGTCTCCAAATCTGCATCTTTAATTCGAGACTTGCACCACTTGTTTCCGGTTCACATTTATGCAGACTTCGTATTATATTTATCATGCTGATGGTGCATGTTAGATTGTCTAAGTCGTTAAGTATAGTTATTCTTTTTTAAACCGCAGATGCACGCAATTTATCTCCTTCTTTCCTTACTGGACATCAATTGTTATTTCTGTGGTAATTTTTTGAATGGTTAAATACAGCTCGCAACACGTCAGTTATGCAGTTATTACGAATCGATTGGCCTTTCTTTTAGTGACATCTTTTTCTTATATATTACGAAATGTATTATCTTTGATGGATATTTGTTTTGAGTGCAGGAGTTGCCCCATACCACTAGGCAGAAGCTTGTCTCTTGGAAAGTATTGAAAGATGGATCAGTAAGAATTCAACAACTCTTGCTCGTGGCCAAGAAAGAGCACCAGAAGATTCTTGTGGGGAAAAATGGAGCCGTTATTGGGTATGCAACCGGTCTAGAATGTCATCCTTCGGGCTTTCTTTAAATTTCACCAGAGAAAGAGTGTGCAGCACTGGACTGGTCATGCATGCTTGTTTGTTGTTCTGTTCTCTTCTTCAATTACGAACAGCTATAAGGTCTAACTATAAATTGCACTTTCGGATCTTTCACTTATGATTGATAGATTGGTAAACGAGGTTGAACAATATGACTTTGAAGTATCTGGTATAGATTACAATCTAGAGCTCTCGGGAAGTGGGAATGAGCATATACTCTTCTCTGTTGTAGCTTTTTCTTCATCTTAAAGGTGTTTCATTCGCTATTCGATGCAGAGAAATAGGTATTAAAGCTCGCAAGGAGCTATCGACAATTTTGGGAGTAACTGTGCACTTGGTATTGGATGTGAAGTACATGCCTGGAATAGAATAGACTGATGAAGTCACCGGTGGGTTACGGGGTTCCTTATCAATGTCTGGATCCCGTGTTGCTCTTTGAGCATTGAGGATTGGAGTTGGTCTCTGCGGGGATCTCATTGAAGGCATCGCTGAAGGTGAATAAATGAGAATCCTTCTTATTTGAAAACGTTTGGCCCTTGTGGTTGTTGCTTCGGAAGATTGGTAGTACAGATTGTGTAAGATTTCAAGGTAGAAAGATTTACATTGTAAGCCAGTTTTTAGTTTCACAGTATCTTACGAGAACAGTTGCAAGCTATGTGCCCTTTTCTGCGTTCTTTTCTGCCGGTTCCGTTATCTAGTAAGAATCAAGCGTGACATTCCGGAAGCTGCAAGTGCAAGTGTGTTCTGACTCTTTTTCGTTTTTGTTGCCAGGATGGTCTTGAGCTGGAGGCGGGCATCCGAACAGACTCTGTCTAGTAGGTTTGCAGAGTAGTTTCAGTCTGTTTAGATTTGTCAGCTACTGCTCTAGAAAATACTCTAGTTGTCTCGGAGATGGAAAGCCTCATCGAAGCAAGCGGAGAGGAGAGGAGAGGAGGGATCTAAGGATAGAAAAAAGTTTCCTTATATCAGCTAGAAGGATCGCTTCATGGATCTCGTGAGCATTCATGAGATGGTTCTCTTTTCAAGCTTAACAAGAAATGATCCAGGGATACCTCAGAATCAACTTCTGCCTACCCAATAAACGAGCATGCGTTACGTACGTTCACAAATCGATTATCATGCTAGAATTTTCCATATCATTAGCGACAGTTGCCTCTGAACTTGGGTGGTTGACCAAGGTCAAAAGTCTTGGATCCTACATCTAGCATAAAAAACCCCGAACCAGGTTTTGCCGTTTGGCACTCCATTCTGATTCTCCATTCTGAAAGGAGATGTGAGGATAGAAATTTTGGGAAGAATGGACGTGCATTTATCAATCCAACAGTAACACGTACTTTAGCTCTACATGTTGACATCGAGTAAAATAGGATTAAACTCGTAAGGTAGATTCTGAAGATCACAACGGCGGGGTTTAGGCTCACCGATCATCTCCAGGAAAGACGATCTTTGTTCGAGACTCTTTACGTTTTTCTATCCTCCTCCCTGTTAACCACTTGAATGCACCTCGGAAACCCAACAGGGAACCAACAACAGGGTAGTGAGAGTACCCTGTCAGAGCAGGAGGCACCTGCCTAGCTCTTCTGAACTCGTAGTTGGGTACAAAGTGCACTGTTCGATACCCGCACGCAGTGGTTTGTAGGTACCATAGGCGACAAAAGTGAGGTTTTGTTCCATGAGTACCTGAAAGATAAGATATGGCGTGCATTGTAAGCCAATTTCAAACAAACCATCGATAAACGTATCGATAACTGCCCTTTTGCACATAGATGGTGGGTGCGTATGATAAGTTTTCATTTATGTTTATTCCATCTCTTTCGAACTTATATATGTTCTTTTCGTGATTCTTGCCCGTCTATATCCGTTACAATGTGTTCAGTTTTCTTTTTCGCCAGAAGCCTCGAATGTTTACACAAGTGTACACATTTCACATCCTCCTTCGTCATCCCAAATGTTTACCTTACTTCAACGTATATTATTTGTGTTTTGAAATCCAAAAATAACAAATCACGAAGTAATAATTATTTGAAGTTATGCTATACATAATAAGATATATATACACACCTAGTACATTCGAATGAATAAGTTGTGCTCTAAACTTTCAAAAATTACATCAAAATTTTACATACTAAATCTACACATTATAAACTAAGTTCATGAATCTCTACAACTTACTATATTCATGCTATGCCATGCACAAAGGGAATGTAAAGGATAAGACCCTACAAGCCCCCTCCCTGTAGTCTCGCGCTCCCCCACAACAGGCAAAATAAAAAATGTGGTAAATGAGCCTTGCGGAGGCAAGGCTAAAAAGGAAAAACAAAACGGAAATATGGATTATTAGACTTTATTATAAAAGTTTTCGGTCGAGTAGTGTCAGGAGAGAACGTTCACTTCATCATCACAATCCAAAACTGAGTACGATTGAAAACAAAAAGGCCATCTGTTGAATGTGGTAAGTCGGTGGGCTAAAAATGTTCGAGACATATGAAAAAATATAAACCATCAAGATCATGGGGGACTGCGTGAAGTCAATCGCAGATGCTGTGCCGGATGCAAAGCAGCAGAAATTCGATGCATGGTAAGTAAGAGAAAATAGAGTTTACGCAGTTTCCACAACTTGTACGTCCACATGGAGTTGACCTCTAGAAGTAGTACCCTTCGAAGAAGTCCTGGATTGTGGAGTTTGGAGTTCCAGGTCATGCATGGCACGGCCTTGACTACGTTCGTACATGTGGAATCGTTGTCCGATAAGGAGCTCGAGTCTAAGCTGTCGGATGGCCGCTTGCTGTGCCAAGTTGCTCCACTCATCGTCCAATTATTGCTCAAGCAGCCGGAGGATCTCGTTGACCTGTGCAGGTTTTCTTTGAGTTCTATATCTTCTTCACAACCTGAAACTCCCTCTTACCCATACACTGCTCAGGCTTGATGTTCTCGGACTGGATTCCGAGGAACGGGCCCGCTGGCTGCTTGAAAGTCGCACAAGTGCTCGGTGGTATGTTCGTACATGTAGTTTCCCACTTCGGCAACGTGAGCTCGATTCAGAGCTTCCACGTCTGAGCTATCACCGAGCAGGAGCACCAGAAGCAGACACGCTACTACTGAAGCAAAAAAGCCTGGAAATTGAATTGCACTCGAAAGAAAAGAATCATCAGTCGCTCGCAGGTGGACGCGGCCGAAGAGAGAAATAAAAGACCTCGAAGACAGCTGAGGAAATTCATCGGAGTTTCTCGACGAGGTAGCTGAGTTTCAATCAGAGAAAAAGTGGATGGATACTCCAATTATTTTTCTGGAGACCTGTGTTATTGCTATTTCTCCTGGAGACCAGATTCATCACTGTCCTAGTGTATGTTATTGAACTTGTCAAATTGCTGTAGAGTGCATGTAAAGTTTGTCACAGGAGGCCACATCCGAATATTGGTCCCTTCATTTCCTTTCGCTGACCACGAAGATTGAATATAAATGAGCCTTTCAATAACATAGCCTTTCAGCATATGCTTGACACACGCCAGTTTCATCCCCCAGTTTTTTATTCTTGGAGGCTCGGCGTCTTTGGAGTGTTCGAGTTTAGCGAGCCTGTTCATTAATTTGAAACGTCAACAATGCTGTGGAACCTTAGAAATTTGTGCAGGCTGGCCATGAAAGCAATTCAGCCACCAACTCGTTCATCACTGACCTGTTCATGAAGGGTATTGTACTCTTTGGCTTGGGGTTTACACTCCAATCCAGCTACGAGGCTGATTCTAGAAAAAGCCCAATTTTGCTCAAGTATCGAGTTTGGATAGGGACCTTGGAAGCTCCGAACAGTCACTTTCATGCGTCTAATTTTCTAAGTAAGTCCTTCATCTGTAGTGAGTCCTCAACACCTCTAAGCATCGCGGTTCATCTACTGTAGCTAATTATTTTTCAAATGATTATCAGACTAAACAACTTCGTCGAGAACCCTCCTCCGGCCAAGAAAAGCGCGACAATGTCTGAACTCCATACGAAGTGCGTAATCAGCTGAAAGCAGGGTTCTCATTTTCCTTAAACCTTTGCGTGCCTGTCTCTCAATAGTATGCGTGCATCATTCTTATAACTATTCAGCTAAAAACATCAGGTCTAGACTTGCGTGTTTACATGCACATTTCATACTGACATACGCATATGGACTTTGAAGGACCGTTACAGATGGTGCTTGCAACTTTGCTAATAACATAGTGTCAATAAATTCGCACGTCTGCAACAGACGGTGCTCAGACAACTTTGAAGCCCGCTCGCAGAAGTGCAGTTTTATCATCAAAATCTCTAGTTATGTTCTCCGGATCCTGCAATTATAATGCAAATTATTCTTTGGATTCTAGGGCTGGATTCAAGTTGCACGGATTGTCATGATAAGGAAAAGGATAGATTTTGCTCACAGGAGTTATAAACACGCAACATTATACTTTACGTCTGTTTTCCCCATTTCGCCGTGATACTAGAAGACTGTTCGTGGTCTTCTTGAAGCTCTACAAAGAATGACTTCAGCCACTGTATCAGATATTCTCTTGCAGAAGAATGTCAATCACCTTACCCACCATTAGCCTGGAGAGCCTTTGTTTCACATCAGGAGTTGTGTGGGGCATATGCCCTTATTTATGCTTCGTATTTGAAAGTTCCATCGTCCCGTTGGATTTCAGACGGGCTCTAAATATCATTCCTTTTGCCCAGCAATATCACTTCCTGCGACACAAAAGATGTCGATGATCTTTCTCTACAAGAGAACGAAGCCTACATTGCTTCATTGTTCCAACTGCTTTCTCATTCTTGTTGGCGCACTCCTTAATAGCACTTGCGAGCAGATTCATACACACTACAGCTTCCATTCCCTTTTCCTCACTGGCAAAATATCGGCTCTTCGATACTACATTTTACATTCTTTGATAATGGACGTGGTTGCACAACTTATAAGCATGATCAGCTAGCTGCAATTCAAATTCGTGATGCTGTTGGAGTGGGAGTGCTGGTAGAACTGGCATTCCAGAACTAGTCCACGCCCTCGAAGACGCCGACACCCCACTGGAGCAAGCAATGCCGAACTTCCGGAAGAGCAGTGGCAGAGTCGCCGATGTCAAAGGCCGGCCCGTCCAGCGGGCAGGACATCTGGTGAGGGTGGTCGATGAAACACGGACCCGGAACATTTGTTCGAAGACAAGGTGGATCCGGCACAGTGTCGGGGTCGAGTCCGTATCGATTGAACACGATGGGTCTGATCCCGGCGAGCCCATGCGCTACGTACCCGAATGTGGATCGGGGCGTGCTGATTAGATCGTCGGCAAAACTCAGAAGCCACATGTCGGCGATGGCCTTGCGCTCGTGCGACATCCGACCCGTGCGCTGCTCTCCTTCGGCGCTCGGGCTCAGGACGGTGACCGTCTGCCGAGCCTCCGTTCGCCCTTCGGCAAAAGCCTCCGCCACTCCTTCGGCATACTCTCGCCGAAGAGACGTCAGCACCACAGAAACTCGCTCTCCGGCCCGGGCAGCCGAGAAGTCTTCAGCATCTCGGTTTGCAACGTCATCCTCGACAGGGGTAGCCATGTCATCATCCTCTAGTGAAGAGCTCGTCGAGTTGGCGCCGCGGGCCGAGCTGACGTTGGGCAGCAGGCCGGAAAACCAAGCGCAGCTGAGGATGTGGCGCGTGATGATAGGCTTGTACTCGTTGCTCCAGGCGCGGATCTGGATGCCCACTCGGCGATCCGCGGGAGCCATGTGGGCGGTGTAGATGCGCATGACGCGGAGCCATATCTCGTCGCGGGGGCTCAGCAGATAGCGACCCGCGTGGAGGAAAACCGCCCGGTCCGGGAACCAGGCGTTGAGCTTGGCTCGGAACCCGGGCACGAAGTAGAGCCCCGGCACGCTGTACTGGTTGCTCCAGAAGAACAGCCATGGCACCTTCTCCAACAGCTTCTGCTCGCCGGGGCAGAAGAACCGCAGGTCGTCCGGCTTCTGCAGGTTCGACAGGAAGCAAACCAGATGCTTCGGAGCCGTAACGGGCCTCCCCTGAGCTGTTTCGTTCAGCGCTCGGGCGTAGAACGTGCCGTGCCGGGCCTCCTTGGCTCGGTGCCGAACGTGGGGTACCTCCTCTGGGACAACCCACGAGGAAGATGGGAAGGGCTCGCACAGCAGGTGCTGGAGCTGCGCCTCGCGGGTAATGAGAAGGACTCGCCGGGTAAGCAGTGCGTAGACGAATGCCGAGACCAACGAGACGAGCTGGTTGCCTTTGCCGTCCAGATCGTTCCAGATGAGGTACTGGCAGTCTTTGGGCGCGGACCCTTGGTCCAGCGCCGTCTGCAGATCGTGGCCCTCGACGCACCTGCTGTGGTGCTCCTCGTACGATCTGAGCACGCCCAGAAACTCCGCCGTCGGTCTGAAGTTTGAGGATTTCCACAGGCAGTGCTGTTCGTATCTGCTTCTGCAGCTCTTTCCCACACGATTCCCCTTCTCCGTCAGCGGATGATACTGCTGATCCTTCGGTATGAATTTGCCTTCGACTCCCACAACTCCGCAGTCTGTTCCAACACATTCACATGCATCGTCTATCAGTCTTCGCTCTGAGTACTGGTGTCTCGATCAGAATTTAACCTTCGTGGTCCAATTCACGTGTTGAGCTCATCGTTCATAGTTCACGTGGTGAGCTCATCGACCTTCCCTTGAGCAATAGAAAGTAATTTTTGTCCAGTTCTGACGAGATGTTCCAAACAGCAACGACGAACAACCACGAGATGACCTGGCGTAAACATGACGCAGTCGAGATGGTACCATGTTGATGTCGAAACTCAAATTGTTTAACTACAAGGATACATATTATCTATCTAGTCAACCTCAAGGTTGACTAGATAATATGGATAATACGAACAACAGGTAAAGCGGTTTGATTTGCTTTGGATTTTGACAGCTCTGGATTAAATTGTCAATCGTTCGAATGTTTGGGGAACTAGACATAAACCTGCAGGCAGATCGGGATTTGTAACTATTCAGTGCCCAAATTCTGCATCGGACAGCAAAAGCCAAAAGTACTGTGAGCTAAAATTCTTGCTTTCTCTCAAAACTAAGAAAGAAGTGACTGTTCAGCTCAAACGAAGAGCAAATACAGCAGCATGTGCGAAGGTCCACAAGTGCAGTACGCTCGACAGCTCACTACTCCGTCGAGGTGTGAAACGACAGTCTCTAATGACCATATCCCTCCGAACAAATTCCAGCGAACGAGGTGCCTCTTCATTGTGCGAGCTTTTGCTTCAGAAGAGCATCGTCGCATCGTCTAACGTCCGCTAACGATCGGTCGGAAGAAAGGACGAACGTTGATCAGTCTGCATAATCTTGTTGCGATTTCATCCGTAACGAAATAAAAGAGCCCAATGTGTGATCTGATTGCAATACTCCCACAGCGCTAGGATGGGTATGGACCTTCTCAACGAGAGAGAGAGAGAGAGAGAGAGAGAGAGAGAGAGAGAGCTTACCAATCTCTGCTGGGTTTGCTCGTCTCCACGTTTTCGTTTGCAGGTGTTGAGTGATTGCGGATGAATATGGACTTCGTCTGACGACATCGGCGAAGAAGCCGAGTGCGAGCAGAAACCACGCAAGGAGTCCTAGACACGCGATGACAACCCAGATGTGGACAGTCGGTTTACTAGCTGCCTTACCTCCTCCTGCTCCTCCTCCACCTAGTCCGCCTTTAGAGGCTGCCATGGGTGGTGTTCTAACAGATTTTTCCTTCCATCTGATTTCAAGGTACAGCAGAGGCAGAATTCTCTTCGTAATCAGCAAAGGCAAGGGCAGCAAGCAAGAAAGCTAGCTTCATCAGTGCCTGACCCAGCTTGCATGATTATTGTACCGAGGGCCCCGTCGGCATTCGTCTCTCTCCTAAACTGTAGCGGTGTCTCGAGCATAGAAAAGAAAGACATAGAGACCTGCCGCTGGGTCTGTGTGTATGTCTGTGTACATGTCAACTGCATGCGAACGAGGCTTGGTTCACGCGCTGGATGATTGCGATGTTCCACTGTGGATTTCTTGGACATTCAGCTCCGGTCTACTGGGCTTCTACTCCTACAAGCACGAACTCATTCACACCCTCACTTACTCACTCACCAGCTTCCACAATTCCGACTCCCTCGAGCTCGCCCGATCGTGCCAGTTCTAGATTTGGGTCCGCGCTGACCAACATGCCAAGCTTCAACGATCGTGCCATGGTACCACTCAAGACGGTAGCCGCCTACGACTCGTGTGCATGCACCGAGGGAGTGATTCCCATCAATGTCCCGGCCGGCGTTGCTGCAGCTGCAGCTGCAGCAGTGGTGAGTGTTGTTCATGCCAAGACCCAGACAGATCCTCCCATCCGTTATTTACCTGTTTCTCAATATTGCCCTTCCTTCGCCAGCCAAGTACGTACTAACCAACCAAATATAACAAAACGGACGGTAACACCCCTCCAGGAGTACATGGATGAAATAGGCCCCTGATGCTCACTTCCTTTTACTTTCCTTTTCTTGTTGGAGGCATCTACTCTACCAAGACCTGCTGCTTTGGAGGGAAGTTCCTCTAATTTGCCTTTCTTTGATCTTTAGCCTGGGGTATTAATCTCCTTGGTGGGGATTGGTGTTATCAATTCTTCTGTCACTTGCTCCTTTGGTTTCAAACATGTACCTCTAGATGGGTCTTCAAGTCCCTATGTATATTCATTGCTTGTTGGTTTACTAAAGTAAAACTTTTACTTGTTTGTCGGATTGGATAATTGTAATCTCGATTGGAATGTTGAGGTTAGGGGAGGGACTTGGAGAACGGAGTTTAATCTTCCCACATGGTGACTTTTTATTCTTTTCACATTGAAGAGTGGATATAATCACTCATATAAACTTTACAACCATTGCATATTATTTTTTTCGAAATTTAACTCATATTCTAGAAGTCTCAGAGGTATATCATTGAATATGTTGTTTCAAATGACGGATTGTTGTGGCATGCAGATATGGTTTTTATTATTCCAATATTTTCATTTTGCTGACTTGATTCCATGAGAACATTGTTGGAAATTCCTATATACATGAAATAGTAAGTTTTTGTGTGTTTTAGATTTTGGAGTTTTGATAATCAACATTCTTTCACGTGATGTTGGGTCTTATTAAGTTGCGTTTCTGCATGTGGTAGTACTGACGTGATGAATTATCTACTGCGCTTATTGTTGTTATTGTGCTAATTATCGCGTCACTTCCTCTTACAGAACCGGCTAATGAAATTCATGATACATCAAGTCTGAAGTGATTGCTTATCTTGCAAAGATAAAGACAGATGAAACAACTTGATATTTGCATGAGAATATTGTATATACACTTTAATCCATAAGCTTTCTCGTGTATACTCCCAAGACATAACTAGGCATGATTTTGCCACAATCTAATCTTTTTGAGCATGATCTTGCTTACGAGTTAGCATCTTCTTTTTCTTATTTCGAGACGATTTTTCCATTCTGTGTCTGAAGTATGTCTGAATACTGAAAGAAACAGTCTACTATTAAACATTTTGTTCATGAAATAAAGCATGAATTCTATGAGTTAGCTTGATTGTGAATAATCAATCAAAGGAGATATAATTTCCTAAAATATAATAAGTTTTCAAGCATATATTTAAACCTGTGATCAAGCTACTTGATATATATGAAAATTGTTACTAATTTTTTTATGAAAATCTATGAAAAAAATCAGCAGATGTCAAATTCACAACCTCTCTTTATTCTTGCCGTCAAGAGGTTGTGATATGATTCGACATGATGAATATTGATTATATGTATCTAAATTGGAAAGATTGTTCAAATAGTTTCTTTCATGCATACAAATACTTAGAGCATAAAACCTGTGTCTTTACCAAGATTCTTTTTATTTTGACTCTATTTTATTATTGCAGTATTAACATAGATTTTTTTTCATGATAAAATTACCAATCTAAAGTCCACCCCTTTATTTAAAGAAATTTCTTTAGCTGTGTTTATTTCCACCTATTTATATAAAGCTTGTACGTTTTGTAATTCTATAGGTTACGTATACTTTCCAATGATGCTTACATTTTATATAGAATTTGATAATCTGAAAAAAATTGTTCAAACAAATGTATAGATATATTCAGAGCTAGTAACAATGATTTTCTCACATACGTAAAGACTACACTCGTTACAAATATGTTCAGTTGAATGAGTCTTCGTTTGTGAAAAATCTTCATAAAGCATGTACAAGATGATGTATTGTTTACAGATGATCTCATTCGATGAAGACATATGGATGTGGCGTTTTATCTACCGTTATCGAGTATTGTTATTTGATTCATCCAATTGCTTTACACGGTATACGCTTTCACGTACATACTTTTCATGCTTGTCATACTTTGAAATAACTATCATGTGTTGAAATATATTGCATCATTAAAATTTATTCATTTGAAAGTACCAAAAATTTGATTGGGCTTAAAACCATTCCTCTAAAAGCACATCTTGTTTCACATTGTCATTGATCTTTTTTGAGTCTACTAACTACCACGATACGAACCATTTTTTAAGGTTTGATAAATTGATTCGATTTTGGAGTACAGGTCATTATTGTTAAATTTGATGCAATTTTCTACAAACATGGTACATGCATTACGGGATATCAGTTTATATAATAAAATATGTGAATATTAATTTTAAATAAGAAATATGTACAAAGTTTTGAAATACTTTAAAAAAAATAGAAAAATACTTGTTCATCATATCAAATAGAACTTTTCGAAATGTATTTGAATCTTTAATTAATAAAAGAAATATTCATGTTCATATTTTTTGATTTCTCTTTAATTGAAAAAAAATTTTAAAAATGAAAATTTTATTTTATTAGTTTTATCTAAAATTGTGAATAATTTCAATTCTAATTTCAAGCATAAATATAGATATTTTAATTATTCATATTTTATTTTCAAATAATCATTTTTATCATGTTCAAAGTTTTATTCATGAATAATTTAATAAAAAATGCAGTATACTTCAAAATCTTACTATGACAATCAATTGAAAAACTGTTAGATTACTTTGAACAAAAAAATCAATAAACTCCAGATATTAATAAAACAAAAATTTTTTAATCTTAAAATAACTTTAAAATACGAATATTTATGATTGCATCATATATAATGTTTAGCAAGATTTCACATAAAAAAATAAATTATTCGAGACAAATGAAAAATGAAAATCGTGTAGAGATAAATAAATTCTTGATTTTTAAATTATTACATCATTATCTATGATTAAGAAACAAAATATAAAAAAAATCAATATTCACAATTATTATGTTTGTACATGAAAAATCTATAATGAATGTAAAAAAATAGTAGACTTTAATAGAATTACTTCAAATTATTATCTTTCTTTATAGTATTAACAAACTTTTGTTGTCATAGTTTAGATATCACTAATCTAAAATTAATTTAAACTCTAATTTCTATTTTCAATTTTAATTCTCATTATTTCAGTAAATTGAATAAAATAATTTTACATAATCTTATCAATTTGATTGCATCACTTTTCAAGAATTTTTTGATATCATATGTATGACAATGAATTATATTTTTTAACTTAAATACTGAAATAATATAATATTTTATGATTTAGAATAATTATATATATGTATATATATATATTTGATGTGTCATATTACAAGATTTTTTTTTAAATGAAAAAATGCAAGTTCAATAAATATTTAATCCAAATGCTTAAAAATTTTCATTAATAAAAAATAGTGATAATTAGTGATATTGATGCAAATTATTTGCATTGCTATCACTAATTATTATCAATATCAATAATTTTTATAGTATTTATGCAATATATGTGTTGTCATTTTTGGCAAGATAACAAAAAGAAATGTCTTGAAATCAATATATAAAGCAAGAGGTTAGTTTAGGCTAATTATCCATCACTCTACTAAACTCTAAAGAAGAGATATCTTTGATTGAACAAGAGTCAGATGCAAGTACAAATACGCGGGGGACAGGGAAGGAAAAAGAATCGGATTTAGTGCACAACATGAAGCATATGAACACGAGACGGAGCGGGGATTACAATTTTTTAGGGGATAGTGAAAAGGAGGAGAATTGAAAGTAGTGCAAAGCATGGGAACATATGGGAGCGTAAAGTAGTAGAATCTAGAGTAATGCACAACATGGGAGCATATGGTAGGGAACTTATGCGGGTTATAAAGTTTTTGCATGGACAGGTGAAAGGGAAAGAATCGTTTATGAATGATATGCTCGTTTGCAAACAGGGGCCAGTTTCTAGTGAGCACAAAGTTGATCACTGTGAAATTGACGTAGATAATAAAGACCAAGAACTGACAATTAAATCAGTGAAAGAATGCTAACAATTAGTATATAATGAAATAAGTGCAAATGTCACACGAAATTGTCACAGTGAACACTCATTAACTCTATAGAAATTCAAGTGCTTTTCAAAAGAGTACATAAAACTTCAATCATAGTTTTATTCCTGATTCTTAACTCAGCACAAACGCTGAAGGTTGTTAGATAGAAAGTCAAAGGGAAAACAAAAACCTCTGAAAACTCACTAAGAATTATCTATTTTAGACATAACACCCACCCACACCGCCAAAACTTTATCACTGTCCGACTATTATATCACTGTGACCTTCGACCAATCACAAACTTGCTTTCTGTAGAGTATAGTAGGATGAGAGTTAATTAACCTAAGCTGAGGGAAAACTAATCGCTCCCTATATAAAATGAATATATGAACCGATATTGTTTATATTGTAAAAAAATTAACACAATTTTTTTGAAATACAATAGCTCATTTTTTTATGTCAAAAAAATTATTTTGAATATGTGTGTATTTTTTATTTTGAATGTAATGTGTATTATTTGCATTTCATTGAATTTCAATAAATTTCAAATGATTTCAAAAAATTTATTGTGAATCAAAATCTGAATTTTAATATAAATCTCAACTATACTATGATTAGTATGTTACCTTTGACTAATAAATTTAAATAATTGAAAATGCAGTGTATATATATATATATATGTATCTATTTTATTCAAAAAAATTATTAATCATTGGATATCAATAAAAATTTAATAAATTGAATCTTATAACAGAATTATAACAGAAGTATTAGAAAAACTTCTGTTTCTAAAATTTGTGATGACACAATGTATATGATAGCTTACTTTTGATATGAAAAAACTTTGATAATATAAAATAGCAATCCAATGTCAAAAAATGATAAATTAAAGTATATAACATGATAATGTGATGAAAAAAATAATATTAATACAGTTTTTGTAATCAAAATCAAGATCAAGTTTTTAATAATTTCAAATATTTTTACCAAAAAAACTTTTCTTTGATTTTAAAATATTAAATTGCAAAAATTGTCAAAAATGTTATTGAACAAAATGAATAAGATTTTCAAGCTATTGAATTAAATTTTTTTGAAACCAATATGTTATTGTGATTTTTCAATAAATGATCAAAAAAGTAGTTCAAATTTTATGAGGTGATAAACATAGTGACATATTTTTTATTTAGAAATAGTTAAATTTAGTTTACATTCACAATATAACTCTATGGCTATACTAACAAAAAGGTACACTCTGCTCATGCAATGAAGTTTTCAATACATACTCTACTATCTGATAAGGTAATTCAAGTAACCTATGATTATACATTTTTAACTTCACCTTCCGCACCAATAAGTTTTGTATGTCCCAAGTAACTGTTCAACTCTGAATATTTGTAAGGATAGATACAAGATAATGTGAAAGAAACTCTTTATAGAACCCAAAGCCTGGAAAGAAAGTGAATTAATTAGTGAAATTGGAAGGGTCAAGAACCATTATACGGGAATGTTAAATCGAGCGTAGTATGTATGATACCCATAGAATGTTATCACCTGGCCCGTAAAATGGAGGATTACGGTTGTGTTCTGAAAACCCCTGTTAGCGAGGTCAAATTGCGCATGGAAAAAATGGTCGAATTCCAGTCTCCAACTCTCTAGACCTTAAACCCTTGCAAGTGCCCAGACTGCAGAAGAGTTTGGTGGGATGAAGTTGGAGTACAGATGATTGCAATTGACCATCCATATATCCATTATCACGTCCAATTCAGGAGAAACTGCCAAATATGGAGCCATTTCCAGCAGAATACATGAGCCAGTAGCTCTCGCTGTCTCTCTCTGTGAAGGGCATGCATGGGTTTTAAATTAGAGGGTGCATAAGCTTAGGTCTGACACATTTGAGCATCGATGGAAATGATTTGTTGCTCGTTTTCCCCTTACTCGAGTACAACGGAAGGAGGGACCTCGTCACCTTTGCGGAGTCGGATGAGTCGCCTCCTGTCTTCTCGTCGGACTGTCACGTCATCCGCAGTCCCCGCTCTGCTTTCCTCTCGGCAAACCCTCGAGGTTTTACCCGTGCTCTCTGTGCACTTCACGGTGTGTCGTGTCTGACGATGCAAATGCACCGTCTTAGTTAACTGGATTTCCGAGTTCGTCGGAATTTAGTTCCCACCGAGAGAAGAGGAGGGAGGGAGGGAGGGAGTCTGGTGGGGAAAGCTGCGTGATTGTATGTGATTGAAGTGGCACTTTTATAGACGAACGTAGACGAAAATGAGTGAGATCCTATGAGTGAGAAGGAGTCATTAAGGGTGGAAGAACATGGAACGTATGTATGGAGAAGGAAGCCAGATGCAGGGCAACCTTCAGAGCCAAAATCACGAATATAACAATCGCCCGGGCACTGCAAGTACTGCTTCACAGTCTGCTGAATTCGGTTCGCGCCCAAACGTAATTTTCGATGGTATGTTCTACGATTCAAACTCGGGAGAGATCATCTGATTAACCGTTTGACTTTCGTGTTTGTGCTTTAGCGATCTACATATTTCAAGAACTATCTATTGAACTCATGTTCAACAGAGCTTGTGAAGAACAAGGGCGGTTGTTAGAAACTTCACTGAAGTTTATAATTCGAACGAGAGAAATGAAAGAATGGATCCAGGTCAGTCCAGTGTTTTGTGTCCTGAGCAGGGTATGTGAAGCAAGAGAGACGTCATCAAGAAAAGTTCGCAGACTTTTGAAAATATAGAAGCAGACAATTGAATAATAAAATTTTTTCTCTCAACAAATGGCGTCCCATTTGGGGACAGGAGATACGTCAGAAGACACCTGGAGGGGTCGGGACCGTTGTTTTGTATACAAGAATTCAGCTACGGCAGTTTTTGCACTCGCTTTTCTCATTGTCTTCGTGCTTACATTGCAGAGACGGACTTATATTCGTCTATTGTTTACCTCTACGTGGGAGTACAGGCTCATATATTTATGGCGAAACATCCATTTTTAGAATCGAAGCGATGGATTATCTCTGAATTGCCGTGTGAACTATCATGGGCTCCACACTATCTTATTCTACAAAACTTTCAATCCAGGACATTCACCTATCTTTGAATCTTGATCTGGTCTGCAGGAAAGCGAATGCGTAAGCCTGTCCATCGCAGAACGGTTGATTACAGTTCCACCGTGGTGCGCTACCTTCAGGTGAGTGCTACACGAGTTGATTGCCAACGTTAGTGTCATGCTTCAAGCTTGTATTTGCTGTGAACCCGAATGAGCCAGTACCATGGACAACGTCTCATATTTCTAAAAGCGCTTCAAATTAACATGAGATTGACACTGGTAACTGGAATTTTCAACTTGTGTTCCATGATAATAAGGATGGTTAGGTCAAAGATTGTTTTGAAAAAGTCTGATAACCTGTAATCAACGTTTTTGACATTCTGGCAATTATCAGTTTGAAACGACTATTTGTTCATAGTCAAAACGCACTCATGAAGCATGCTTTTACGAAAATCGGCTGTAACATAGAAAAAAATTCTAGCTCTCATCAACTATGGACACGATGGCATCTTGTGATAAATAAATGAACTAGTTTAACTTGATTTGGCTAGGTAGTCGTACTTGCATATAGTTTGGTTGCTGTTGTCTGTAAACATTGAGACAGGATTCTTAACATATGTTTTGGTTTTTAAACTGGTGTAGTTCTTTCGTTCTTAAATTTTAAAGTAGAAGTGCCTGTCCTTTTTTCAGTAGAAAAGTTAGCCCATTCTCCGGTTGGAATTATGGGTTTTGAACCTCAGTTGCTGTTGTTTTTAACTGTGAGACAGGACGAATATATTCCTCTTTGTTGTTCACCTGGTGTAGGCGTTTCGCTGTTAAGTCTTAAGTAGCTTATTGGAAGAATTTGAGCATGTAACGCGTATTGTACGCCATGTTGGCTTCGAAAATATGCTTTCGTGCCTTGGCAGCTCTGACTAACGTCCTCACCTTATTGATACATCAGTGTGGTTTGTGTTAGTGTATAGAGTTCAACTCATGTATCAAATCCTGAACTGAAACTTTGATCTCCCTCTCAATTCGTGCAGGTCAGGATGTGGCAGCGTGACGTTCGTGATGCCCACATACTGCAACCAACTCCAGCAGCAGCTGTGGATGTATGTGTCTATCATAGCTTTCGAACTTCATCTCAGCCAAAGCATCTTGTTTGGAGATTATAAGTAGAATAGTGTCCGGTAAGAGAGTGGTTTCTTGAACTAGTATACTAGCGTACTTAGAACTGAGTCTCGGACCTACCGTAAGTGGAAGGCTATATCTCTACTTTGTGCTTATCATTGTTTTTGTTGGTCTGTTCCTAAATGTCAGAGGATTAATCATTCAACATTACTTATGCTATTTTAAGTACAGTGCTTCTTTTGCAAGTATAATAGTTTCTTCTAGTACGAAGTCGGTCGAAGTTCTGTTCTCTGTAAAAGCAGAACTGAAACTACAATGCTAAAAGAAATATTGTGCCGACTTTAACTATTCTGCATCGACGTGCTATGCTACTTCAAAACCAAGTCATGGTTTAGAGAAAGTTATGTATTCATATGTTCGTAATTATCGTAAGGTGATCACGGGAGTTTGTTTGTAATACTTATTTCCGTTCTCTTCTTTGCGTATGTTGTAGTTAGTCGCCAAGGACAGATCAAATACACGTGTAATATATTTTTGGTTTTGCAGTCATCATCATCGTTGTGATCTGTTCCCGAATGGCCTATCTTATTCGTTTTTTTTCTGACTCATGTCCACGTATTGTAGTTGCTGCCAGCCGTTGCTTACCCCGATAATCCTTCAACCAGCTTTGCAACCAAGTTTGTGCATCCCTCCACCAACAAAGTACGCTGTTCTATAAACAGGGTCCTGGTAAGTGAAACTCAAGTTCAATACCTTCGTATTGGATTAAGTTTTTCTGCATATTCTCCGTCGGCTCGTTTTCTTAGTTGAGGTTTGACTCCTTGTATTGCTCTTAAATCTTCAGTGGACGCCTACGGGACGAAGACTTATCACGGGATCTCAAAGTGGAGAATTTACTCTCTGGAATGGTCTGTCATTTAACTTTGAAATGATATTGCAGGTAATGGATCTACTTAAAGCTACTTACATTTACTTAACCACGGAATTGTAACAGCTGAAGAATCGTCCTGCTCCAAGAAATATATCTACTCAAAGCTAGAGACTATCTCAGAACTGAAACACGAATCATGTCATCAGTATATATAGCGTACAGTAAATTGCACATGTATCTTACATTGGTTTCGGTTTCGCCTATCGTTTCCCTTAACACAGTTTGCATCTCACTATTTTGCCACAGGCACATGACCTAGCAGTGAGGTCGATGGTTTGGAGTCACAATGAAAACTGGATGGTTACTGGGGATGATGGTGGCTGCATCAAGTAAGTTTAGGATTTCGCTCAGTCTATGTGCTAGATAGATAGCGTTATGAAGGAATTTGTCTCGCATGTAATACCTTATGCGACCCAGTCATAACTATTTCTGTCTCTGCAGGTACTGGCAAACCAACATGAATAATGTCAAAGCAAACAAAACTGCTCACAAGGAAGCTGTACGGGACTTGAGGTATTAACTAGCGTTGATCAAAATGTCGAAGTTTTCCGAGGAGAGACAAGTTTCTTAGATGGAAAAAATCATCATGAAAGCCTTATGATATTCCAGAGTTGTGGTCAGGAATACTTGACATCCATTAGTCTTCTAGAAGGTGAATCAGTACGAATTAACCAGGATGAAATGTTTCTCGTATGACGACTTGCAGTTTCTCCAGTACAGACCTCAAGTTTTGTTCTTGTTCCGACGATACGACTGTTAAAGTGTGGGACTTTGCGCGCTGTCAAGAAGAGCGATCTCTTGCCGGTACTGTTCAAATTCCTTCACTTTACGTTTATTGACTGAATTCCATGTAGTAAAAGCCCTTCTGTCCTAGATAGCATAACCTGGGACTGTTCACATGGACACTTACGTGATTATGAAACTGTATGCACATGAACGTAGTGACTATCCTGTCTTATCTGCACCATTACTTGTACCCTATCCATTAAACAGACGTTAAGAATCAGGTCTGCATACTTTGACCCTTATTGTCCCTCAAAACTTTCCACCGTCAAATGGAATCCAACTTTTGCTTGCGATCGGGTGGAATGAGTCCATGGTCCTGATAGGAGCACTGTAATAGTATTTGCCTGTCATAAACCAAAGAATTCGCGGCTGGCAGAGCTCAGCGAATAGTAACAGACCGGGAAGAAATAAAAATATCCTGAGGGAAGTGGAAGAAAATACTAAGTTAAGAGTGAAGATGGTATCACAGTTCAAAGATATCTTACCAAGAATGGGCTTCGATTTCAGCATCCGGATGTCAACCCAGAAACCTTTTTCTACCTCATCCACCTTTCGTTTTTGTTTGCTCCAAAATGTTTGACTCACGAGAGCAGCAACTTTGGGCTTCGACTCAAAAGCTCGCGTGTATTTCTGATTCTACTATCAAAGCGAGATTCTACAAAAACCTTGCTCTTATCGTGTCAAAGGTGCTGCATATATCCAGATTACGGCATGGGTTTGTCCATGGGTTCAGAGTGTTTATTGGATAAGGAGAGGTCAGATTCAAGATTCGCTTCCGCCCTGCTATGGTCTTCTAAGAGCCCAGTCATATAGTAATTCTGACCTTGTGTCCGCTTAAGGCTGCGTGCGGTTCTTGTCTAGCTTTGACGTCGACCTTTCAAGTCTTCAATTTCAAACATGCAGAGTATGTTCTGTCATGTCGTGTACATAAGAAAACATTTGATCTTGCAACACTTTGTGTAGATGAAGCTTCCCTGAACGAGGTTGAGTTCCAGTGGTGGTTATTTGCCTTGAGCGTAGTGATTATTCGTGTTTCAAATAGTGGTTTCTCTTCATTATCCATAGTCGAGAGAGCGATACCATCTGTCACTCCATGCTGCAGATACCAGTGACAGATAATATCTTACTTTCCTCTGAAAGAGGTTGCTTCTGCTGCAAATGAACCTGAATATCCTGAGGCAACCAGAAAAGGATGAATCGTATCTCGTGCCTACCCAAAAATGAATTGAGAGGGTTAGATGCCTATAAGCAGTGGGAAGAAGATGTTTTTTGTGTGTAGAAAGAAACCGACTCGGAGTGCGTGGTGAGAGGGAGTTTTTTTCATTTACTAGAAAACGGAGAGTTTTTTTTGGTAGGGGAGGGAGTTTTGTAGGGTCTGGACAGACCTTACATGCTCATATGATTCATCCGTGTGCAGTGAGGGCAAGTTGGACAGGGAGAATGTTCACGAGCTGCAGACGGGAATTGACAAGGGTCCTGAATGTGCTGTTTCAATCGGGCAGGCCATGGATGGGACGTGAAGAGCGTTGACTGGCATCCTCAGAAGTCTCTGCTTGTATCAGGTAATAATCGTCAGTTTTCCTGTTACCATACTTGTGTTCTTTCTTCTCCTCACTTGTTAGGCCCTTGCGGTTGATGATGCGGTTGTCCTGTTCCCGTGCATACTATTCGTGCAATTTCTTTTCTTAATGTGTGAACAAATTTTTGTCAACTTTTCTAAGCAGTTGCTCGATGTGTACACTGTTTTGACCGGAAAACGTATATCAAGTCAACATTTACTGAGTGGGGCTGAATTTAATGAAATATAAGCAATGTTGTACAATGTTGGAAATTATTCAACTCTGCTGATGGTGGGTCTTGAAGGAGCGAAGGACAATCTGGTTAAGCTTTGGGATGCCAAAACAGGCAAAGAGTTGAGCACATTGTGCGTGTCTTCTATCCTCCCTATCTTTGATTCATGTCTTCACTGCAGCTTGCATGGCATCACGAATGGAGAAGCAAATGATAGAGAGTTGAAGTTATGAAACTAGGAGTATTTCACATTATTGGAACATAAATGAGCATGTTTTCCGCAAGGATTGGCCCGCAGACATGGACATAAAAATACTGTCCTTTCCGTCAAGTGGAACAGCAACGGCAATTGGGTCATCACTGCTTCCCGAGATCAGACAATTAAAGTAGGTTCAATGTGTTCTGAATGTCCACTGCAGAGTTTTTGTGCAGACCATTATGCAACACAAGAGTGTACTTTAGATCGTTCTGGTTTTCTTGTTGATTCACAGCTTACAAACTTGGGCAATTTTTGTTCGTTACATTGCAGTTATATGACATTCGTACCTTGAAAGAGTTGGAGTCGTATCGAGGTCATCGGAAGGAGGTCACAGGTCAGTGCTATTCCATAAGTGTTTACAGCTTGTCACTCGAGTATCTACAACAATTGTTACAAGTCTGGTTGTTATAAGTGGAACAGAAAATGCGGTCTATATATTGGAACTTCTGTAACAAAATACTTGAGGTGTTTGTTTGCAGCCTTAGCTTGGCATCCCTTCCACGAGGAACTTTTCGTCAGTGGCAGCTACGACGGGAGCATAATACACTGGCTAGTCGGGTATTAATTATTTTTTACCATTTCCTTGTCTCTCTTTGCAAGTGCCTCGTTTGTGGTCGCACAATGCCAACTTTGAAGAGGAAGCTGAATTGAGTGGTGGGTTGTATATGTGCACAAACTTTTGTTCTAGAGCATGCAAAGTAAAATTTGTATTATCCATCCACATGGTCAAGAATATGTGGAACTTGAAATACTTTATATGTTGCTTACACGCACGAAGAGAAGATGAGGATCTGGGAACAAAATGTTTCTCAACGCTACTAGGATATAATATATAGGCCACATGGTTTGATCCATATACCACTCTCGAACATGTGATTTGGCGTGGTTTATTTTCCTCACCTTGAATTTGTGTTGTTGCGAAATTTTAGACACGAAATTCCCCAGGCAGAAGTTGCCAATGCACACGAGAGCAGCGTATGGGATTTGGCGTGGCATCCTATGGGCCATATATTATGCAGGTATTTAGATCATAAGAGGCTTATTCTTTCCTTCAAGAAGCATGAAACATCCTCTTGAATGACCTTAGAGGTATCATTCTTAGATCTTCCATTTTACTGCCTTGCTTATTAGGAGACGGACTGGCGAGATTAGATCTTCATTGAGTAAGTATCATAGGAAAATCCAAGTAATGCAAAACACAAGAAAATGGTTTTCAAACTGTGAGTTTGTACATCGAAAAGTTTGACCCTGTAGTGCGTTACATTCTACATTTATAATAATGGTGGGCTTTTGTTTTCAAATGTTTCAAATTTGCTCCGTATTCGCCTCAGTGGAAGCAACGACCACACAACCAAGTTTTGGTGCCGGAATCGTCCAGGGGATTCACTTCGAGACTGTCGACAGGCCATCCCACATTCGCAAGGTACGTAGATTATGTCAAGTTATTTCAAGGTGGATATTTTATTCAATAAATCGCCTTCTTAGTATATTGCCCCAGCCTGTCTGTAACAAAGTGCATACGCGATGGACGACGTCTGGAACTGTTATGTCTCGATATAAGAAAGAATGTCCGGGGGTTTACGGAAGAATCCAGAGCTCTTTATCTCCAGGAGGAACGCTGACTGTGCAGAACATTGGAACTATCTTTCAAACTAGAGGAAGGATTTTGTTTACAGACAAATAGGTGCACAAAGAGTTGGACATCTTAGATTTGTTTAATGGCTGCTTCACTCAGCGAGAAAGCTTATATTGCAGAAGTGATGATGAATGTAGTGCTCAGTCCGCTGGTCCCCGCAGGCTGAACACTACAGCAGAGTCAGACGTCGGAGTAACCCTCAACGTTTTAAAAGACTAACTCGTCCAATTTAGCATTACAGACGAACAATCCTGAACCCCTATCAGCCGGTGCCCTGTTGTCAAGGGTTTAGAGAACTAGTGATTCATCACTGACTCTGAAATCAAACCCAAGAGTTTGACATCGTTTTCTCCTTCTAGTATAACAAGCATATATTGTGGAAGAGCAAACTGTGCTTGCTTTGACTTTCGCATCAACTGTTGTTCTTCGTTTCAACTTTTTCCCGTTTTACGAAATCGACCTGCCAGCAATCGTCGTAGTATGAAATACTCCTTTCGTACTTCATGAAAACCTTTACTTAGGTGCCTTTGATGAGAGAAGCTTTGTGCATTATTTGTTTTTTTTTTAAAAAAATTTCCCAGTAGTATGTTCCTGGCATATTTGAGCCAGAAGAGAATGAGTAGTTTGAGAAGACGAGAGAGGACTATTTGAGAATGTAGAGTGTAGTCTTATATTGATGTGGAGAAAAGGCCGGAGTTTCCAGTTGTCGAGCGAGAAATGTTTCACTTCTCATCAAACCTGATGATGATAAGAATAGCCGCAGTGGATCGTGCGGCTGCTTTGGGCTTTGGTTCACGGTTTGTGATATCCGTGAAGAGGTTGAATTTCACCAGCAGCGCTATATCATGGAACAGTTCCGTGAAAGCGGAACTGTTCCGCTTTCATGGTAGAGGGAGCGTTATTATGTAAATCGTGAGCATGCCTCTTGTCCTCGTTGGCTCACTGCGTGCAATTGGCGGATTGATTTCTCATCTCGCGCTTCTTATGATTGAGAGGGTTTGTCCTAGTTATGATTGGTATTATATTACCATTTGGAACTTGCACTTTAGGCGCGTCCTTAGACGAAGAACACCCTGGGGAGAGTGCCGTAAGATGACGGGTTCGAGATCCAGCATGCCTACTGAGAGATTTGATTGATGATCTGTCTAGTTTATGTTAGCTGTTTATAATTGCCCTGCAGTCATTTGCCATAACCACGAAGTTAAATGTTTTTTATGCTCGGAATGTCCTGCGCGGGAGCCAAGCAAGGTTCAGCAGGTCTTCCTTGCCGGTTTCAAGTTTATAGACCAGTGAGGGGAGAATGGGAGACCTATTCTGTCATATCATTATGTTTTTTTCCACTCGACCTTGACAAACGAACTTCTAGAAAGTTCTTTCTGGATACTGATCTTGGGGTGCCGATATCATTGCGCGGAACTATTACAGCTGTACAGTTTTCAGCATAGCGTATCGGATGGTATCGGTGTTCCATACCATCCGATTCTACTTTATAATACACTGTGGGTCGAGTAATAGGAAGGACAATTGTACAAATTGCTTTCGTTGTGGTAACCGAACACCGAGGGAATAAATAATATCTTTCAACATGAACCATGTAATAGAATATTAATACCAAACCTGTTGAGTAACTAACACGTATTGGCTTGCACAGGGAATCCAGGCGATTCTTCAGCTCCTTCTGGTGGTCGGGCGTCTTTAACTGCAGCATCAACAGATGGTCCAGTAACACCTGGTCCCTTTACAGGCGGAGGACCTGTCCGTGGTGAAGGTGCCATTCCTGGTGTAGGAATGGCGATGCCTATGCCCCAGGCTCCCTGTGACACTGTGGTCGCAGCACCTGCTCTTCAAGCAGTTTTAGGGGTCATGACCCCGAACACCGTTCCAATCAATCCACCCCCTCCGAATACTCCTTATCCGGCTGCAGCCCAATCCAATTTGCAGCAACAGCAACAACAACAACAACAACAACAGCAACAACAGCAACATCAGCAACAGATGCAGCAGCAACAGATGCAACAACAGCAACAGGTTCAGCAGCAGCAGATGCAAAGCATGCATGGTCTGGGAGGACAAACTTTACAAGTAGCACCTGCATTTCCTCAACAACCCCCCGGACTTCCTCCACATTTGATGCAACAGAGTGTTCTTCCAATGCCTCCTGGTGCCCCACCACCTCCACCGGCGCCGAATGCAGGTCCTTTCGTGCAGGGGCAGCCGCCTATGAGACAGATGGTGGGCCCATCCCCACCTATGGGTCTGCCGCCAATGCTAGCTGGACCGAACTTAGGAGGGGTGCAAATGGCAATGGGTACACCAGCACCTTTTGGAGCAGGGCCTCAGCGACCTTCCGGCATGGGACCGAGTGTTTCTTCACCATTTGGGACTTCAATTGCTCAGCCCATGCCAGGTCCAATGGTTACCTCTCCGGCCAATAACACATTTCAGGTATACTTCGCCCATGGAGCATCCCAAACTTACTAATAATGTAGGTGAGAATTATTACTAATGATTTACACCTATGTATTTTTGCTAGTCCTGACATTGATTGAGGTAAAGGATGTGGGCAGCCTGTGTATATATGTATCACTAGCGACTGCTGAATGTTGTGGTTAGATTGCTATGTTGTTTCTACCGTCGAAGCCTACATTTGTTGGTCATGTCTGAGATGATAATTTCTTCTTTTTGTCTTATGATGTCCACTCCGTTCCTGAGTTGTCAATTCATTCCTGCGATGATCTTCCCAAATGTCCTCAAGCTTCTTTCTACACCTCCATGACTGTCAGTTAAGCTACTAAATTTGGTAAGCCCATGTTTGCTACTGTAGTAAAATTAGATAATGAGCTCGTGGGGGATAGAGTACGTGGATATATTTGCTAAATTGTAGATTGTTCTACCTTGGGACTGTCAATTTGTCCTACTTTCCGTTGCTTATCGCTACACTCAAGAAATGGATGGCCTCTTTTTCCATGTTTTCATCAGTAAGATCTGACTTCAAATCAGGGTTGGCTATAGAACCTGTCAGAGGAAATCGCGATGTTAGGTCTTCCTTTTCTTCATTTTTCTTCGCACCTGGAGGGTATCATATAGTTTTATCCAATTTGCTCAATTATAATCTACAAAAATCCTCTCTTCTAGCCAACGTATTCTCTTGACATACGTCTCGATAGAACTCCTTATCTCTAGACACCTTAGCTTGAAGTTGGGCCATATATATTTTTTTTCTTGTTTCTCAAGCATATGTAAATCTCGAATGCTTTCGCAGGTATAATAATGTATTTGACCTGTCTAATGACCGTAAATGTACTGCTTGATGCAGGGAGCTGCCCCCTCGGCCATGATGGATGTTCGGGCCCATGGGATGAACGTTGGATTGGCAATGGGGATGGCAATGGGTTTGCCTCCTCATCCTCATGGACCTGGTCCTCCCCATTCTTAGTCTTGTCCTACATTTTTTGTAGTTCGCATACTTAGCCCTATATGTACGTAGGTAGAGTTTCAAATAAACTGTAACGGCACTCCACATTACTGTACACATGTCACTGAGGTGCTTTTTGTGTGTAATGTGAAGTATATTTTCGCAGCAATTTGCAATTGCCTGGTGTTGCTGAAAGTCCATTTCTGAATGACAGTTGAGATTCATTTGTTCTGTGCTGGTTGTCGAACAAAGCCTTCCCACGAAACTGCTAGAAAGTGGTTAAACCAGCATATGAACGTTGAGATAGATACTAAGTGACTCGAAAGGAGACAGCGAACTGGAAACTATGGAAGCAGGATACAGGAACACAAATGTAAGTGGTCCATCTGCCAGTGCTTTTAACTCTTCCTTCCAAACTGTAGTAGCCGCCCAGGTAGGTCACCTGGTATCTGCACCTACGGCAATAGCCTGCCCACGGTAGGAGGTACACGGTGTCTCTACCTCCTTTGTGGAGAAATTCTAGTTCTAAGGTAATTGGAAGGAACCAGATTAAAAATTCTTTTGTATGGACTCATGAGAAGAGAATAAAGTGAAGTTCGTCAAGGACTTGTTTAGCAGGACTTTTATGGAAAGTTCTATTACTGATCAAAGTCAAAACACGAAAAGACCCCCTGGGATGTTTCACCTGCCGGAAGCTCATGAAGAACGAAGACTGAGCGGAAGTCATGTACGGCAAATTCTTGGAGTGCCCTTGTGGCAACTCTCTTATTGTTTGCCGAATTTAGTCAGAAACTGGCTTCCTAGAAACACAGCAGCTAGTGAAGGCTTGTGATTCCCATTCGATAGTTGTGTTGTCTTTTCTGTGCATGTCCGCGTGCAGACTCTGGATGTAAATGAGACGTGTTCAGGCGGGACGCGTATTGGAAACAATATGTTCTAGACCAGCCTTTTGCGTTTCTGTTCAGTATCGTAATTTACATGAAGCCTGGCTTACATGTATGCATCAGTTAAAGCTATAAAGCAAAAAGGATCCAAGTAGACTTATATTTTAGCCAGTAGACCATCCTTTGTCCTCTAATCTGCAGAGCTCAACACGTTTCTACAGATAGTTGATGAGTCTTAAATGTTCTGTTGAATTTGTCCACAATCCTTGTCTTTTTACAACAGAAGCATCATTTGCATAGACGTCGACTAAAATGGACTGTTGGACGGCAGTGTCCGCCTGTTGCCAGGTGCTGCACTTCTCATTGTAAGAGCTAGCCGCCAAGGCTAAAACAACAATTTCAAGTAGTAAATAAATGCTCTTGGTAAGAACCAAAAACAGGAGTCTGAAGGAAGTCATCAAGAGTCGATTCCCTTTGCATACATAATTAAATATAGTTTCAAGACAGGATTTTGAAGGGGCTATCGGGTATTTATATTCCCACAGTTGTTGGAACATAAAAACCTTCAAGACAGGATTGGGAAGGGTGACCACTTGCTTGATTTGGTTATTGCAGTCCCCGAGTAGTTGGATCACTAAAAACCGCCGGATCAAGTAAATAGCAGAAAGAAAGGAGGAAAGATGCATTCTAGCATGATGACAATTCTGTTGATATTGATCCCAATAGTATCATAATGGAAATTGGAAATGGGAATATCGCAATATTACAGAGATAATGATGACCATACTATAAATATTAACTCCAATAGTGTAAAAATAAAAAATGGAAAATAACACCGCAAAGATCTTGATGACGATTCTATTGGAAATCGTCCCAAAACTATCTTTATGACAATTGCATCATAGCATAGCAACGACAATGATGATGATTCTGTTGGGATTCATTTCAATAGCATCATACTGAAAAATCATGTTAAATGGTTCGTTAGAGTGATTAACATGTTGAAAATTAGATTTCACAAATTTCAGATTTATCACATACTTTATTTAAGAAGCTCGTTTGATGAATAAAAGGTGTCAGGATAATCGGGAGGCCATCTTGTTGTAAATATGTTGTCTAGTTTATAAGAAACTCGCGTGAATAAAAAAACAAGCAATTCCGGAATTCGATATGTCACCAAGAGATTCTTCTTCGAGAACATGTCACATGCAGAATCCGATGTGAAGAGCTAAGACTGAAAAAAAAAAACTACTTTCTAACTCTTCAGTTCTTTTGAATCGTACTCATCTTGAGATGTATTGCAGGTCCATTTATGAGAATCAGATTTGACAGTCTTTACGATGAATATTATTCATCCTTTCTGATGTAAAAGCTCCTAACGAAAGGGTCAAAAGGTCATACCTCTATTATACAATTAAATATCAAACTAATTGACATATAGAAATGTTCAGATGGACTTGTGGAATACACAGGTCCATTAAGTTCCTGATGATTTTCAAGCTATAATAAATTTCTGTCTTCCACATTCCTTCCCAGATCTAAATCTCTCTTCTCTCCGCCGACTTATTCCAAGTTTGAGTACATCAAACATGTAGCGAATATTACCTCACGTCGGGGGAGAATTGACAATTGGTATCTACTGTATGGAGTTATCATAACATTTTACGTAGAGGGAGGCCTAAATGGACAGTTAAGCAGACTTGTAAAAATTGATTCTTGGCATCTACTGTAACAATATTATAATGTCATTTCTAAATATACATCTATAAGCGAAATCCAAACCCGGTTGTACAAATCTTTCAACAATTATAGTAATGTAAAACACGCGAAATGGGTTACGTGCTAACGGAGAGAATCATAGCAAGCGAACATGAGATTGACATTCATAGCGCACATGCTAAGTAGATTGAAATATATAACATACTTAATCCGGTGTATTTGGAATTAAAGACAAACATACCCAAACGATACTCGTGGTTCCCGCAGGTACTTATACTTGTTTTAGATAATGAATTCCGTTGTTTCGTAGACTAGCTTGACAACTTGTGGGTGGATCCTTGGATTACAGTCCCAGTATGATTCTTACAAGGACACGGTTATACAACAATCCTGGGCGTTGGGTTTCACTCAACGCCTGGAGCATGAATGAAATGGTGGTAGGTGGTAGAATGTCTTTAGTGGGAAAGCAGGCCCCTCCCTCCAAAATAGAGATAAAGTTCTTGTATTCGGAGCACATTATATTTTTAGATATTGGAGTCAACGTATCAATCTAGAGAGTCAAAGTGTATAGATCGCAGAGAATATAAAAACGGAGAGTTGGACTATTAAAAAAGTTAGCTCCACCTCCAACTCCATTTTGTTCGATGCTTTTTGTATCGATATATGTGAGGATAGAACAGAAAATGAGCTTCCTCAAGGCTGCATTATAGAAGTTCTCATTTGTAAGTAGTTATATTAAAGACCTGGGTGGCAGATCTTTTTACATAGAGGTCGATGGGCGTTTTGAGACCATTTTGATCACGGATCGGGAAGGCTCACAGTTTTTATGACTGGCCGATTAAGAAGCCACTACTTACGTGTGCACAATAGTATCGAAGTGCCTATCTATTGACAATAGTGAGGAACTATTTAATGAGCAACCACGAATCCCAATCTCCTTTCACACCTATAGAGGGTTGTGTAAGTAGAGAGATTTGTTTGGGATCCATTAGTATGTAAATTGTTTATGATACCCATCAAGTTTCAATTTAACCGATGGTACCCCAATGATAGGACACCGTCGTTGAATTTTAATAAATGTTCTAGCGTTATAGCGATGTTATAGCGATGGCTTCCACGGCATGCCACTGGAGTTTAACAAAACTGGATATGCTCTCGTCAGCAAGATTTCCCGACCCAATCAAAGCTTATGGACATTAAGTGTTGCACTCGGGTTCCAAAGTCAATCTGCACAAGCACATTGAATCGGAGACATCTCTTTTGATCTAGAAACAGTGAAAGACCAATCTGAGAGATCATGCAATGTCATTGGCATTACACCTTCCACCTCAAGTAATAGTGAGTTCTTTCGTCAAACCATCAAATTTCTGCTCCAGAAGATCTACCACAATGACTACCACAATGAAGATTTCTGCGCACATGATCTGCTCCAAATAAATTCATTCTTGAAACAAAGGTGAGTTTTTAACGAGACAATTTGACGGTGACGTGAACCGTTCCTTGGGGTCTCATCGGATAAATTGAAACTTGATGGGTCCCGTCAAGCAAATCTCTTTGTATAACTCTTAGGTTCATTCTTAGATTTCTAATAACTCCTTATTTATCACTTTTCCGAAATGTCATGAACTGTATTCAATTCTGTAGCTGTCGATGGAAACGTCTATCTCAATTGGGATATGTTTTAAACAATTCTTGCAATAATAATCATGTGACTTACTCTCTCATATAGCAGAGACACATCAAGTTCACACCTTGCGCACAGCAAGCCCAAATCTCTAATTCAATTCAACATCATCTAGATCCAATGTTAGGATGTAATACAAAAGTATCAATGGTCATTTTTCCTGGTGGTTGAACTTGAAGAACATGTGATCATATAAGACGTTGCTCTTACCCGTCCACTGTACGATTGGATAAAGTTTACAATATTTGACCAAGGTAAAGTACAATATGTCTCTCTAGAAGAATATGCTCAGGTTGAATTTTCTTGCAAATCCATATATAATGAACATATGATTGAGAAGAGCCTTTCCTCTCCATGTTTTCTGCTGGCCATTTTTTTCGATGGGAATGGATCATGTGTTACATCACATATGATTAGTCAATGGATATTATACTATTGGCAAAAGATTAAAATACACAAAAGCGAAATCAGACATCCAACCACCTAAAAGCACTGCACATATGCAGTTTCATGCAACTCAAGTCATGCATAGGTATCATAATACTCCCCTTGCATGTTCGTCTCAACAGATCATGACGAGAATATTGTCCAGTTTTCAATAGATAAAGCCACGAATACTCCTCGGATTTTTATATTGCTCACCTTACTTGTTTAAACAGTGATATGTGTGATACTTCTCTTCGTAGTGGTTGACACACTCCGAAGAACTCGTGAGAAGTTGCATCACAACCAGTACATTTAGATACGACAAACTTAAAATCTCGCAGGAAAAAGGTACGAATTCCTGTGACTTTTGGACAAAAGAGAAGTTAATCACCTGCTCTCTCAAGTAAAAACTTTCATATGAACTTTATGTAATGTCAACAAAAACTAGAGAGATTATTGTGCCCATTATGACGTGCATATAGAAAGTTTACATATATAATTGTCTTTATATAGATGCTTCAGCTATGTAATCTTGACTTGTTTTTTGAATAATAAAACTAAATATTTTGCTTGTTTATTAGCTTACATGATATAAATTTGAGTCGGAATCTAGATAAGACTATCTAGACAATATCAATAAATCAAGGAAGTTGATTGAAATCATGTCATATTGTGAGCTTACTAACATCACAGCAGAATAATCAATTATTTATGTATACAAATGATTGAATTGCATATATCATTGTGTTAGAATCATAATTATTATCATCAACGAGGTATAACTTTCTTACTCAAAATAATCTATGTATATTTCCTCTCAGCTACTACTCTGTTGTGTATGTCCAAGGGCTGTACGCATTTACCTTACATCTAGTATATCAAGAATAAAAAAAATAGATCTCAAATTGGATAATATGAAAGATGCATCCAGTTGGATTTGTAGATGAGATTTGATATTCCCAATTATCCTTGTTCAAGTGTAAAGTTAAACAAAAAATTACTCAACTCACACATGACATGACAAAAGTCCATACCTAGAACCCTGAAGTCAATGACACAAGGCAGCATGTGACATTCTCTGTCACTATGATCGATTGTATTCCGAAACATGCATGTTAAAAATATCTCGGGAGAAAGATCTCTTTGCCACTGCTCTTGCGTTTCTGAGAATCAAGTTTCCACTTTCAAAGCAATGCAGCCGAGTCGGAATCCTTTTCCGCAGGGAGCTACTTCCTAGTGACCACGCCGAAATATATGGGCCGTATAGATATATGCAGGTGCAATGGGTAATTGGCCCATATATATATATATATATATATATATATATATGGGCCAATTATATAAAAAAAGGGCCATATTATATACGTCTTTTATATATATATATATATATATATATAAGACGTATATAATATGGCCCTTTGCACCTGCAACTGGACCAGCAACTCGGTTCCTTAGGTCGGTGGTTGCCGGGATCCAACCCAACCATCCTCGGATTTCGAGGTTACCATTTCGTTCAGGTCATAATTCATTTACCACAGTTCATGGATGAACTGTGGTAAAAAAATTATGACCTGAAAAATCGGTATAATTCACGTGTTTTGAACAGTTTCATAAGGAGCGATTTATTCATCACTTCTTAAGCAACAAGTTTTGATTTGGACTTCTAAACCCTTTTAGAGAATTGTCCGTTTTGGCCTAAGACTTAATGATACTTTACAGGTTTTAAAACACCCTTATCAATCCTAAATTCAGTAGTTCCGGGATCGAAAAGTCCAAAAATCCCTTGCATTAATTCCAACAAAAAAGTGACGATACTTACTACATTCACTTTGAATTCATTTCAAGTATGTGGGCAATGAAGGGAAAGAGAGTAACTCTAGGTGGGCGACTGCGTAATTCGGTGCCGGTCGGCACTATCGAAAAGCTATTAATTTTGCTCAGTCTCAACCATAGTACATATAAAAAAATCAGATAGTTTTTTAAACACATATAGACATATGATAAAAAATAAGAATTATTCTTTTGTGGTGATTTAGAAATGATTTGAAATAAAGTACATTTATGTTAATTATAACAGGTAAAATAAAGATGAAATTATCAATTTTAGTGATACTTGATCATAATCAAAAAATATCACGCATTAAACACATATTGTTTAAAATTGAAACAAAGATTATTTATTTAACACTCTATAATATCATAGTTTCACATATGAAAATAATGACGCATCACACATTACACATATCACGCATAAGCCCAAGATAATGAAGATAGATAGATCAGAACAAAGTGAAACCTAATACGTTTTGTTAATCATGATAACAGCTTATAATTGTCCATCTAATTGAATATATATATATGAATGAAAGTGAAATCCTTCTTCTTACTATTGCATGTTGAATCCTTAAATTTGATGTAATTGATGTTTGTATAGCATGTTGATTGACTTATCAATAAGGTTGCTGAAATATATCCTCAAAACTGACATTTCAAGACATTCATGTAAAAACAAGATAATGAGTTTACTGTTTCCAAATTACATTTATGAGTTTTGAAAAAAATTAGAGAAGTACTCCATACAAATACATAAATATATGTTACAAAAATATTTTGTATATGTAACCCTTATCATAATCACATGTAATGGTTTGAGAACATAATTAAATTTTATAATTAGTTTCTCAAATCTATATGAAAATTGAACATAGTATTACAAGTCAATATATTCTATTTATATCAAATTTATTGAGTATGTACATCATAGAATGTAAACGTATTATCGTTATAACTAGCTCTGATTTTGACTTTGGCTCTATATATGACTTGTTATGCTGATATATTTTTAATGTCACCACTGATTTTTCATTTTATATACGTGAAGTGAAATAAATCTATACATATATGAGTACATATCAATGTACTAGTGTATATTTCTAATGAGTGGAAGGAGAAAAGATTTAATGCATCAACACCTGTAGTTTGTAACATTATTTATTTTGCTACTATCTTCTGGGCTGGTCAATGAAAAACTAATATGTCCTTCCTCAATTGATTGTACAACTACATTATTATATAGATGTGATTTTATCAAATACTTTGAGTTCTTTTTCTCCTTTCAACACTTTTAGAAAAAAATAAAATAATATGTGTTTTTAAAAACTAGCTTCGCGTGGCACGTAGGTTGTGATTGCGAAGACACCCGTCACTAAGTCAACAAGGTAATAATCACAAAATCATGACATTGTAGCCAGCCAATTCTAGCGCTTACGTAGTTACATGCACTTGCAGCGAGCAAAAGTCTCAATGTACTCAAATTTATTCAGCATTTAAGGTCTGAGAAGGCCTCTATCGACCACTGTAAAGTAACGACTCTGCAACCATCCAAAAACTGCAACTCTGAACCTCACCACGGCATCCCTTTTGCACAGCACATTCAAAGAAATGACGTAATCGTAGTCTCTACATTGCGTTTGTTCGTGCGATCAGGTAGCCCCGCTCGAGCAGAGAATGGCGAAACCATATCCGTTTCTGCACACTTTGATTTCTCCGAAGAAGGCCGTTTCCGCAAACTGCTGCTCCATTTGTTCAGCTTGGGTTCGACTCGGGCATTTGGGATGGTGCGCACGGCTGGGTGTGGGTCATCGTGTCGCTACTGACACTGTGTTTGCTACTGCAATTTGTCGATTTGCCCACGAGGGACCATCTCCTGTCTGCAGCGAGAATAGAGACGAGACGAATCTCTGACTTTCTGGGAAAATCGTCGAGGGAAACGACTGGCATTTCGCATCCCAATTATATATATCCTGGTCTGGTTCCTCCTTCTGTGTCCAATTCTACCTGTGAACATTCTACTCCGGCGGACAAGCGTTCCGAGAAGTCACGTTTTGCTTCACAATCCACCACCATCGCCCCGGAGTTCGACATTTGCCTCGCTCTATCGATCGGAGATGATAGAGGCCAAACGCGCGACAAGTCTCTGCCGTTCCAATTGGTGTACAGCAGCCTGTTTGCAGCTATGAAGGAAGAAATTTACGCAACACGAAGCCACAAGGGGAAGAGCAAGGCGAAGGAAGTGCAGGTTCTGGTGCGAGTCGACTACGGAAGCATAGTGTGCAAAATGGTGAGGGATTTTTTGGACGAACTGGAAATCGGTTTGCCGGGCGTGAAGGCGAAGTGCAGAAGCTTCGACCAGCTTACGGACGGTACGAAGTGTGGGAAATTAATGTCCGGGTCTACGCATCGCCTCGTTCCTCAAATCTCACCTGTTTTCAGTCGGATGGCGAGTTGGAAGAGCCAGCGCTTCGTGGACCTGGACTGTTCAAGGCCCGAGGAGGATGCGCCCGCCATTCCCGAAAGCAAGTGACAAGTCACCATAGTCACGGGATTCAGCAGCAACCACATTCTTCGGCAGTGGGGCTTTTCATGCTTCGATCTCTCGGCAAAGCTGCGAAGGAGGGCGTCCTCGAGCTGGGGACTGGAGTATCGGTGGTCGTCTGGGCGATGGAAATTTTCAAGCCCGAGGATCAGAAGATTCTGGATTGCATCATCGACGAGCTCAACACCGAGTACAACGTGAGGGCCGAGGTCAGGCTGTTCGATTTCTCGGCGCACCCGCAGTGGATGCCTCTCAATCAGAGTCTGGGCTATTTCGGAGGCACGGGCGAGTACGCATGGAGCGAGGAATCGCCCTGTGGGCCGACGCGGGAGATCGATTCGAAGACACCGTTTCCCTCGTGGAAACTTTCAACACGCTGAAATTCACCGGCTTCGTTTCACGAAATTCTCATGGCACGATCTGGACTCGCACTCATCCGCTGCACTTGATATTCTTCCGGGCGAACCTGCCCAGCATCTGGGTCTGGAGAACTGCGAGGCAGCAATAGTGGGATTCACGTTGAAAAAGTACAAGGAGATCGCCCGGCCGTGGTACGAGTGCGCTCTCATTAGGCAGTGCATTGCACCGGACGGATCAGACAGGAGTAACCATCGCCAAGACCAAGCCGCTCTCTCTGTCCTCTCGAGAAGTCCCTGCGAGGGCGTGCACCAACATTTCGGCCACCACATGGACGACAATCCGGTAGATTCTGAGCCGGTGGTCACGCTCGGTGTAGATACCACCCATTGCTATGTCGATCCTCTTCGTTTGAGTCTTGCGCAAGGGACTCATTTGGACCACGGGCCGGAGGGACCGTACATGTGGCATTGATTTCGTATAGCCACGAACAGACGCAATTCTTTCCCATTTAGTGTACCATATACATTTTAGCCATAGCTTCTTCCTTAGTGTAAATTAGAGGTATAAGAGCGATCGACCCGTAGATCGGCTGTACGGTAGATATTGTCAGAATTTTTAATATACTTGGAGCTAGATCCCGATCCCTTCCCTAAGCTCACTTGCTTAGATCGAAAGGGCTTCGGATGTTTGGAGGAATGTGATGAAGATGAAGAAGATGATCACGATCATGAGGCGCTTCGGGCGCAGCAAACTCTTGAGGCACAGTTTTGAGACAAGTGAATGCACATTAACTCAAACAATATATGATATCGAAGTACGACAAATATGCCTCTGCATGAAATGCTCATCTTGTCCCCCACCTCGCCATAACGAATTTGGCTGTAATGTGCGTTCTATTACCAGATCATCTCTCGCCTGTGCATGGAATGCTGCGAGAGAATGCGATAACTCTCGCTTCCGATGTGGACCCTCACGCGAGGAGATTCCTTGCGAGACTTGTGAGACCTGCGGGGACGACGAAGTCAGTGGACAGGCAGAGCGAGAGCAGCAACCAGTTACAAGATCTACGGTGACGAGTGGTTCCAGGCGATGCCGACGCCTGCTAGCGGGCATTGCAACTGCGAGCGCATCTACCGATCGGACAACGTCGTCTCCGGGAGTCGAAGCCGGTGGACAGCTATGGTGTGCGATTTCGAAAGAGGTGGACATGTGGATCAGATCGGCCTAGTCGGTGAAGCCTATGGAAGCGATGAGGTGAGCTTCCTCATATTCACATATTTTTGGATCCATGAATCGCCCTACGAACCAGTAGCCAGTAAGAGCAGTCCCTGAGTAACAGTAAAGCCTCACGATATTATTAACCGGGAGGTTACTGCACTCAAAATATGATTATTTGGGCATTTCATTTCTAAAAGACAAGGATCAAGTTTATTTAGTTCATGTCATGAATTGTCATTTAGCAACTTTTGTTGAGAAGTGTTTAGGGTTCAAATAAATTGTCTAACATAATCAAATTGTTACTTTGATTCTTTTTGAAACTCTCAGCATAAGAACTTATACTCTATATATACAACTTGCTTTTAAAGTGACTCAAATATCTAAAATACAAAGTTGTTTGCTAAATACGAATCTTGAGAGTCAATTATATCATCCAGATTTTCGTTTGCAAACTTCATAGTATCCAAAAGTTCTTCAACCTAGTTCCAAAATTTCAATTGTAAATATCTCAATGTTTTCATCATCGACATAATCAAATGCTTCAAACTCTTTCTTGAAAGTTTTTAAGCTACAGTAGCTTATGTAACTTTGGTCACTAAATCTTCCATCTAGTTCATTGTTTCTACGTAAAATTTGCAATCGCTAGAACGATTGCAAATCTAATTCATTGTTCCATCTAGTCTTTGATAGAAAAAGTTGTAAAAACAAACTCTACACCACGACATTATGAGAAACAATAAAATATATTTTCATTGCAAAATACGCAGAGCATTTGCACCAACAATACATTGCCAAACATTCATTGTATAATTTTTATTTGGATTGTTTGTGTACGTTTCATTCCGATTGATGTAATCGTTCAAATTCGCAAGCAATGATATTGTATCCGTCTTGACAAACCTCTATCCTTTGGCAAGATTTTTAATGTTGTTGTATGTATTTTTTTTGAGATGACAAGTGATTGATATTGAGGATTCAAAAATAGAGTTACAAAATAGATAGGATAATCAAATTCAATAGTTCTTTTTTGAATAATTTTCATCATATGAACGTTACAATTGATGCAATTCTCAGTAACGTCGTTGTCTTTCATAATTGTGTACATATTGATGAGTTTCTTAAAAACATGATCTAATGTGATCACACTTTGCTCAAGATGAGCTATACTATCAACGATATTCTTAATAAATTTACAAATTTCCTTGTTAATTTCAAAATGATAATAGTACTCCTAAACATCCTTGTTGATAGAAGGTTCGATAACTAGCTTTGATTTATCAACGCAATGTTGAAATCTTTTATTGTAGGTCTAGACATACAAGTACTGCTGAATACCAACGTGTTTTGCAAAAACTTATTAATGTTATTCTCTTTATCCTATATCTTGAGATTTATTGTATAATAGTGAATACTTGTTAAAAAATTCATCAATTCGTTAAAAACCTGCTCCATAGTACATATACTTGTACATATACATATACCTCGTGATCAGATTGAGATGATGAAGATCACAACGCAAGAGAATAATATTTGTATTTGAATTCGGCAGATTATTTCTCAATCTTATCATGATAGTTGTACTATCGGACACAAAAAGCAACAATTTTTGTCAATGAAAGAATACTTTTGTTAGTTGACATTATCACATGTTAATGCAATGCATATAATGTTGATCGTCTTGTAAAATGCACAATGTCTAAAATTTATTGTTATAGATCGATAATAGTCATCACAGCGTATAAATTGGATTATTTTAGACATACTTCTATCCATCCATAGTTATCGTCACATCAATGACATCTTTCAACTATTCTCCTAACTTCGATAGACATCCACTGTACTATTTTTATAGCAATCGGTCCGTGATCCCTCTTTTAGATAAAATAGTGTGTTTGTTATCGATACCACAGATGAAACTTGCAAGTTCTTTGTTGCAACATACATTGAAAACATTGTTTGAGGTGACTAGAAAGTCTACAAATCGCAAATGATGTGTAACCATCTTTAGTTAGTTAGAACTAAAGTACAGGTTACTCTAAATATTGATGTAGATGCTTTAGTGTGCACTAGTCATAGCTACCACGTCAGCGATCCGCGCACTTGGTAGGTACTGAGTGGATGTATTAGTTGACAGTGCCACGTCAGCAATCCGTGTGCTTGTAGGTAAGGATTGAGTGTGTTAGTTAGTGTGTTAGTTAGGTGCGCCACGTCAGCGATCCGTGTGCTTGTTAGGGTTATCCGCCACGTCATCCATCCACTAGGAGTGGGATGTATGGTGGGGATTAGATCTTATCTCTTTATACTTGTTGGTGAGAGCTATATAAGGGAGAGGAGAACCATTGTTGGTATCTCTCATCTTTAGAGTTTACGTTTCTATCTTTGAGTGAGCTTCTCTCTAAACCCTAGTGTTACAATGGTATCAGAGCGACCTTGCTCTTTCCTTGAGTGTGGATTACCCCTCATGGAATAGCAAGTGAGTGATGATGAAGTGTAGTCTTGAGAGTGTATAGAGGCTGGCAGAGTTCATTCATCTACATGTAGAGAGAGGTGGAAGGGGGAAATTGTGGTTTTGCAGATATGGACGGGATTGACAGGAATTCAGTACTGCACTGGCCAATTCCTAACCTATTCGATATTCACCTTCATTACATGGAGAAACATCATTTTCGGATGTACCTTGTGGCTTGTTGGGGTGCAGATTTTATAACTAGATCGATGGAGTCGAGAGTGCCACTAATTCTTCCAATTGTTACTCATGGAGAGACTTGGGATTGTACTATATACATTCTATACTGAAGGTTTCATGGATTTGAATCGCGAACCACCTGTCCCGGTTCGATTCAGCACTTATGTAGAGATTAGGACAGTATACATTGTGAGCCTAAACTCCCCACCTTTCAGCGTTTGTAGTCCAAGTAGGGGTTCGAGCTCCCATAATCTAACTTCTCTGATCTCAAACCATGTGGTCAAAGTGTATTCAAGACAATGAGATCATAAATACTTGTTTTGCCATAGAAAAATTGTCCCGAACTGTCACTAACAACTTGATGTCTGCTATTTTCACAAGAGCAACAGACAAGCTCTTCGTCAAATAAAGATCTAACCCAACTATGGGTGACTTTCTCAATACTACAGCCGCTGTGGCTTATCCTAGAATGAGTGCCACATCTTAGACACACTGCATCAGACACAGTCAGGTGACACACCAGCAGCACAAGGTGACACCCTTCCTAACAGCAACCTTCACACCCAGGGAACACGATTCTACTCTCAACACTTGCTCGATTTTTCCTCTTAGTGATCAACTAAGTCTCAGCCCAGCGATCCTCTTGGTCGTCACACACATTCTTCCGCTCAGCTCTCCGGCTACACTCTCAGCAACTCCACGCTTTCAACACCCTTGCCCTCAGGGATCTCACCCTCCTATCAGATTCCACCCACAATTCCGAGTATCAGATTTCAGTCTCACACCCTCAGTTCCCGCCTTCGATTTCAGTCCCACTCCCAATTCCTACTTTGATTTCAGTGTCGATTTCTCAATTTTCACCTTCAGGTCCCACCAGACTTCTCTCTTAGATTTAACTCTCACTTTTCAGTTTCAAATTCAAATCTCGACTGTCACATTTCAGTCTCAGATTTCACTTCGATTTCAACTCCCACTCTCAGAACCTCCACTTTGATTTCAGCTCCCACTCACAAATTTTTCACTTTGATCTCAGATCCCAATTTAATTTCACTCTCAGATACGACTCTCCACCCACGAGAGATTGCTTCCTCCTACTTCGAACTCTCCACACTCCTCTCCTAATTCTCACCACTTCCCTGCGAAAATCACTCACATCCACATTCTATTCCTACGATCAATCCCACCAGCGTCTTCACACAATGGCACACCACACAATCCTAGCTCGCAGGCCAAATAATCCTCTCCAACGTCCAAGGGCCGAGTCACCCACAGGCCGCGTGAATGTTGTTTCTGCGATGATGGGCAACGGCCTGGTTCCCATGTGCGACTTCATGCCCCGCCGTCCTATTTCCCACGCCTGACTTCACGCCGCCGCCACTGCCACACCTGTACAGTCTTTATTCATGACCACGTCAACATCCGCCGTCCGAAATCTTCTTCTGCGCACCGCCGAAGGTATCCTCCCGCCGAAGACACCCTTCCGCACCTTTGCCTATCTATAACAGTCACCCCCGACGATCAGAACTCACAGATCGCTGCTTCGTTTGAAACGATCTTGGGCCCGTTGGAACAAGCGTGTTGTGCTCTTTCCAACGAGCCCTTAACTAAGTCAAACCGTTAAGAATTGAAAAGGTTATGACGGTTTTACTCTTCCCCCACAGGCGTTCGTCTATGCACAGGCTTCCACTCGCAACTCGCCTATTCGCAGGCCGTCTATGCGCAACTCGACTACGCGCGGGCCGCCTATGCGCAGGACTCCTACTTGCAACTCCTTGGGCCGAAGGCCTCTCTATCTGTTATCGCCGAAGGCCCCTCTATATGTTAACGCCGAAGTACTCTCTCCTAACCATGACAGCCGCTTTCGACGCTCATAACTAAGTGACGCCTTATCCGTTTCAAGAGTTCTTGGTCTTGTTGGAACGAGCGTTGCGAGCTCTTTCTAACAAGACCCTAACTAAGTCAAGGCGTTACAAATTGAGAAAGTTATGACGGTTTTACTCCTCCGACGGAGGCCTTGCCTTGAAAACCTGCTACCGCCGAAGGCCCTTGCCCCGAAGGCCTGCTACCGCCGAAGGCGTCCGTCGCCGCACTCGCCTAATCTCTTACCATCAGTAACCTCCGACATTCATAACTCACTGATGCCTTATCCGTTTCAAGAGTTCTTGGTCTCGTTGGAACGAGCGTCGCGATCTTTTTCCAGCAAGACCTTAATTAAGTCAAGGCGTCACACATTGAAAACGTTATGAGGGTTTCCTGTTTCGCCGAAGGCCTTTCTCCGAAGGGACTTCACCGAAGGCACTTCGCCGAAGACCTTGCCCCAAAGACCCCCTTCCGCATCTTGTGAGCACAAAATTGTGCTCACATGTCTTTTTACCCTTATGAGAGTTAAAAGTTTGGATTTAAGCTCTTGCAAAATTATGCTTCGGGTTTTCTGAAAGTTTTGGCAAGATTAGGAATTGGTGTGATGGTTAGGGGACACAAGGTGCGGAAGGAGGCCTTCGGGGCAAGATCTTCGGCGAAGTGCCTTCGGTGAAGTCCCTTCGGAA